ACGAGAGCGAGGAAAACGGCGTTGCGAGAACAACAGCCAGAAAAGCCGAAATCTCGGAACGAGCAACGATAAATTACGATAAGGACGCTCGCGGCGTCCACGGTAGTAATTAAGTAGTTTCGCTCGATTAATTAAAGTTTATTTAAACGAGATTTGGCGCCGTTTCGCGGCGAGGTTCAACGAAAGCCTGGAGGGGAGAGGAGAATCTGCTTGGTCCGGTGTCAGCAGCCGGGTCACCCGGCGCGTGCTTTAAATATTCTCGTCGCGGACACTTTCATTTCCGAGCACTTCCTCCCGGGGAGAAATATCATCGTAGGAAATTGTCCGCGAGCGCAACGGCTAAGAATAAGCCGAAGCGTGACCGAGTTTCGTCCTCCTATCGTCAACTTCTTCTTCTTTTACTTCTTATTCTTCTTCTTCTTCTTCTTCTTCCGTGTGTATCCACGTTCGCCCAGCGGCAAACATTCGAAAAACCAGATACACACTCCTGATGGCGCGAAATTGAATTTTAAAGCTAAACGGGTGAGTTACGCAGTGCAATTTATCTGTTAATTTCCATTCGAGCCTTTGTGAAAAATGGGTGATGGCGTAAAATCGAAATCGTAGCCGTGTAAATTAAAATCGCAGCAATGGCGAAGATAAAAAGTATTTAACTTAACTTTCGACCCTTTCACGCTTGACGAGTAAGCGTACAAGTCAGCACATTTGTATTTGCCTTTACTACGTTTTACGCATTACGTCCTGTTTGTAGAAGTATTACACGCGTTTACGCTGTCGTACGTGAAATTTCGTCCCTGACTATTCTTTCGTTTAATTTCAGACGTCAATAAACTCAAACGAACGTAACGAAAAACATTCTGTGTTTATAATTCAGTATTAAACAAACGGTGGAAAAGTTGCTGTTTATAGTAATTACAAATAACGCGACAACGTTGTTATTTTACGAAACAGCGACACAAAATTTCACTCACAATAACCTTTAATTACAAACGTTCGGAGTTTCGTTTTGTCGTGGACGTATATATTTGTAGCATCTCGAAACATTCGACGTTGGATATTCGTTAGATTGTTACATTAAACGTTATTAAAAATTAATCTGATACATTCGGATCACAATTAATCTGATTTATTCTGAAATTCTCCGCTAGATTCTCGTTTCTCAGTTGAAACCCGAGGCGAGATTAAAGGAAGAAAGATTCGACGAGCGCAACAGGGGTTGAAAGGGATCTAAAATTTTCATCGACGTTTATATAAAACACGAACGTCGGCATCTACGCCGATGTCGACAGCGAAGAAAAAAACGAAAGAAAGATGTAAATAATTCGACAATTACGTTCTTAGAAGGATGTTCCCGGCCGTTCTCCCTGCTTTTGGTCTACCCTCGGAGAATCGGCATAGCAAAGCCGCAGCAACCCTCGCAAGTACCGCCCTATTCTTGCTCGCATCAGCAGCAGCCCATTTAAATAAGAAAGACATCTCTGACGAGATAGAAATAACACGAAAGGGACCGAGCCCGCCTCTCAATTCTATTGAGCGATAATCCTCTTCTCGATGATCCCATAAAATCGTCGTATATCGCATAGCGGCTCGTAAATAATCGATAATACTACTTTCTTCCCTCGTGAAGAAACATGTTTCCACGAAGAAAGGGAAAAAAGTACAAAGGAACAAGATATAAATCTACATCTAGGAAGTGTATTTTGTAGATGAACACGAAGGGTTTAGATTAGCGGCGTGCGTGTTTCACTATATTGATATTAATTCGGCTGGTGTTAAATTTCGTCGCAATTACCGAGCATTATACCACCAGCTAATTAGACATTACGTTGTTATGTAGAATATCATACCGTTCCAAGAAAATATACGCGAACAAGTCTGGCGAGTTATATATATAGGGGAAATAACATTTGGTACATAGCAAGTTAGTAAATAGAAAATTAGCGAGCTCGGAGACGTGAGTCGTTGGCACGAGGCAGCCAGGGGGAGGAATTCGTTACTACCACTTCGTAGGAGGGTGCTAGGCGACGAGGAGGACGAGAGATACTGGTTTGGCATCTACGCAATTTCCTTCATTAGCATCGAATTTCCGCAAGATACCCTCCCCTGGCTTTAACCCATCCTCCCGCTGATCCGAGAGGCGAGCTACCAACAGCTCTATCCCCTACCACGAACTTATCCCTTGCGTAAACGAAATCTCTCTAGCCGAGCAGAGATACAAGCTATCCAGCATCCGATTCTGATAAAGGCAAGAACGGCTACGCTGTTCTATATTATTTCGTGACAAATCTCTCGCGTATAGACTGGATGATGCGTGCTCCATCCTTTCTCCACGAAGTGTACGAGATAAGATTCGCATTTCTTATACTCGCTGCTCTTGAAAGTGTGATCGAGGGCCACGGGAAAGTTTTGTGAATGTATTTTGAGCGTGTGTATTATACGAGAAACTTTTTTGAAATTTCAACGAACGTAAGGACAGGGTTAACAAATTTGAAAGTTACGAGAGGAAAGTATGATAATTTTTGATGCATTTAACAGTAAATGACAAATGTATAAAGTAATAATTAATATCGTTGAATTTTCTGAAAGAATCGCAGAGAACTCCGTAACCAAATTTAATAAAAAAAAGAAAAAAGAAGAAGCAGCTCTGACAACATATAATTTTGAACTTTAATATTTCTCTCGTATGAGAAACAAAAAATATGAATTAACGCCACTAAATATTTCACAACTTTTACATACATTTGTAGAATACTTTCAAAGTTTCCGAGCGAATTATTTCCCACGAATTACTCCCAAATTCATTTCAGACTATATTAATATAACCGTGACGCTCGTATTTCAGCGTCAATAAAATTTCAAAACGTTTCATATAATACGCGGATGTATCCATAGAAAGTTTCTACAAGTATTCAAACACTTTTCTAAGCCAATATAGTTTAACGTCATCTCTCTGTCATCCACTCATTTCTCCTATCATCCCTCCATCATACAAAAACAACGTGCTCTTACAATGCAAATATGTTCTGTATATTTCGCGAATTTCATACCGTGCCAGAATAAACGAACTGCCGCGGACCTTCAATATATTGGACATCAAGCTGTCTCGTGCAAATCAGCCTCGCTGCACTTCGATATTACTCTGCGGCCGCTGTTGAACTTTCTACTCTACGATTCATTGTTCATTTGCCGATCACCAAGATCCCGATATATGCACTTGATGCACGAAGAAAAATAAAAAGTAGTGGAGAAAGCTTGAAAATTTGGACTCGACGTCTTTCGCGTAAATTATATCATTGTTAGTTGTTATCGTATACATACAACACGCAGGACGCGTAGCTAACTCCGTTGGCTATCCTGTTCGCGATCAAATTTCATTTAGCTCGATTCTCAGCGAGCAAAATGCAATTTCCATGCAAACTCCCGGCCAACAGCGTGAACTTTCCCTCGCTAACTGGAAGTCGAGCGAGCAACGACTAGGATCCTCCGAGTAAACCACCAGCCAGGATAAAGGTGGTGAAAGTTGCAATCGGCCCTTTTTTATCGAGGTTGAAATGACGGCAAATCACGCCGAGCACAGAGATAAAGGTCGCTATAGGCCGCGACTTTACGGCTGGCCAAGTAACCAAGCGAATTTTACGCTGCTGAACTTTATGCGCCAAGTGACAACGTTTGACGATACTTTCTTTCATAGTCGCAAGCTCGCTTAAACCGTAGAAACTCTATTTAATTGCCTGGTTTTCTAACAGACCCAGCCTAAGCTCTGTGCAAAAGTTACCACGTTCATTCATGAACAAGGATGTAGCGTGAAAACCAAAATAATAGCTCGTAGAAAAATATACAAATTGTAATGTCTATTAATAAATTAACAAATTTAACGGAGGTACAATATTTTATAATAAGAATTAAAAAATTATTAAATTATTGACTGTGATGAAAAATCTTTTTTTTTCAGTTTCCCCCTTCCATTTCCAAAAGCTCAGACTAATTTTCGTGACAACTCGTTATGACTCGGGCCTTCATCGCGTACTTATAAACTGAATATTTAGAATTTCTTAATATTCCAGATGTTTACATCATTTAATTATTTCTAATATTTTACGTGTAGCAATTGATACACTAACACATTTCCATATACATTTCTAAATATCGTTTAAAATTTCTAATAAATTATTTGTAACAATTCAATTATTAATTGATTTTTACTTTCAAACATTACTTAACAATTCCTCTTTTCCTAATCCAACATTTATTTCCCTCAACTTTCAACCGTTGAATTGATATTTTCCCAAATTTTCTCAGTCACGCTTTTATTAGTTACACGCAGTTCGAATATCTGTCATAAATAATCCTAAAGCTGAATAACACCAGACTAGAAATGGGTCGTCGAATCGCTAGCAAATACGTTACAGTAGTATCGTCCATTATGCACAGACATCACGTCTATGGTCGTATAGATGTCGCTCTTATCGCTAGAAAACTTCAACCGGTCTCTATTTCAAAAAGTTCTAGTCATTGATCCCTTGCTAGGAGTCCTTTGTCCTATCGCAAAATGTTCTTACACCGAGAGCACGAATCTAGGAAGTACTACAGCTAGTACTATTACTATGCTGATAAGCTCGTCGGTATTACGATAAACCAAGAACGATATCTATAGTTATTCGTTCTTTGAATTTCAACGATTGCATTACTTTTCTTTATATCCAGAGATAAAATCAGCGAACCTGATTTAATTCGATATGACCTTTACATAATATTAATCTAGGATATATACGAAATCTAGAACGGAATATTCAAGAAGTATCACGATTAAAAAAAGAGCAAACAATGGGTGAATAGACAGTTGAGAACAGAGGAAAACATATTGAAAGTCAGATAATGATGGATTCCAAACGAGAACGTGAAAAAAGAGTTTACATACTATTAAGTATGTAAACTTTGATTTAAACACGTGTCATCTTTCCACGTTATGATAAGCATTCTCATGCATGCAAAATAGACTTACCTCGAACTATCAGATTTTTATTTCGTCTCAACTCGCGTGTGTCAATCTTATTCCTGACATAACCTCTCTGCAAAAAATAATGAACAAATGAATTATCTGCAATCTTAAAGAATGAAACATCTTTAGATAGTCTTTAAATGTCATTATGTACTCTTACACTTTCAACAAAATCTCACGAAACGAAGGAAACTACAACAGAGGATTATTGTCTGCACTAAATTCGGATATGATTTCCGCGAAATTCAAAGTGCACAATTTCGGTTACTATACATAGAGGGCGAGTGTTCAAGTGGCGCCATCGTGTCTCAATTTGAATGATTTGATAAACAGAGACCCTTTAACGATAGTAGTTTTCTACTGTACCAAGTCGATTAGTCTTGCATTAAAATCATTAACCCGTAAAATCATTAACTAATTAGGATAGATCGGATCATTGACTAGAATCTAAGATAGACCGCATATCCAATGTTTGTTTTCATGTCTCATGTTTTGAGGATCATCTGACACCCTTACCATTTTCATGTCACATTCTACTATATCGATTTAGACAAAGACCATTTTCATGTCATATCCTACTATATCGATTTAGACTAGTAAAAGGAATTAAAATCAAAATAATGTTAATGTTGTTAATAATATTGTTAAATCTGCACAAAAATTATTTATTGAATTAAACATTTTCTCATTTGTACGACTTTTCTTTAAAAAACGACCAACTTAATTTTTGACTATAACATAATTATTTTTTACATAAATTGGCACTATATGTCACAGACTTATAAATTAACATTTAGCATAAACGAGGTATACCTTGTCAGAGTATGTTAAAAAAAATAATGATCTTTTTACTATGTCAGTATTTCAGAACGTGTGACAACTTCCAGAGGATGTCTATTCTGTATTTAACGTTTTCCAATTTCAATACATTCCGACTGTATACTGCCATGTCAATTCAAATAGACGTATCTGGTTAAAAGGTGGTTTGACAAACGACTTCAGAAAAAAGACTTTCAGTATTTAACAGTCGATTTCATCTGAAACATAAGCTATTATATCTTCGATTTCAATGTAGGTTTTTTATAATATACATATAGATAAATTATTTTTATTATTATATAATGCTATTTGGCGCTAACAGTTTGATTTAAGCGATTAAACTTGCAGATACGCCATTTTGATTTAACACGGCAGTATAAACATTCAATTCACTTGTGAACCTATTAGATTTATTTTTACTCCTATTCATGATAATTTGATAAAAGTAATGATAAAAAATATCATGATAAAAATAATCATAATTAAATGAACAGAAAGATAAAAATATATCAGACTTACAATTAGATGCAAGGAGCGACATATGTATTCATAACCCAGAGAAAATCATTACAAGTATCATTAAATAGAAACCGTTAAATTTGGTGGGAAATGTCTGTAACAAATCACGATCATTATAAAATGCATGCTGTTTTAAATCGTAGATGTATTCAATCATTCAGAAACAAGTCTTACCTAGATAGTCTTTATTTGACAATTTCTGGATAAGCAGCTTCTTGCTACGTTTCACGTCACGTTCCCGCCTAAAACTAACAGTTTTACGTTACATTTCAACATTAGATCGATTACAAGAAACATCGATTATATTTGAGAATCGCAATACGAGAATTGCAAAACTTCACCGCTTCGTTGGCGCTGTAATCTTTACCAAAATTAAAATTGCGCGCGCATTTTGTACATTGTATATAAATTGGAAGAAAAAATACAAATTTCGTTCTCCTAATTCTTTTCTATTTAAATAAAATTTTTACAAATATGTTTGTAAATTGTAAAAAAATCATGTCTGCAATTTTATTTTCTGAATCTTCTGATCTAATTTTGAGTTAAAAATCTAATAAATTTAATTTCTTTAAGAATAAACCAGACTAGAATCTAGTCTAGTCTATTTTATTCTTATTCAATGCTATTAGTAGTCAATGGTTTAAGTACAGACGAGGAATTCATATACCTCGATCACTCTTTTATTTTCAGAATATTCAATATTTCAGCACGTGGAACACGAAATTCAATAGAGTCGTAAATCTACAACTCTGTTGTCTATGGTTATAATATCCAAGAGTGACGGTTCTTCATGACGTCATCAATCGAGAAAACATTCCCCGTTCGAAGAATGCAAATTCTACATGAGCTGAACGTTGTTGATCGTTCAACAGTTTATTTAAACAACTTCATCTTAAATAAAACTCCGTAATGCGAAAAATGAGTGTATTGTGATTACTCGCGTCGAGGAAATAACGTTTCAACAAATACATACAAACGTCTCGTGCAAATACGCAACAAGCGTCAATGCACGGGATACCCATCGATTTCGCCGGGAAAATATGAGTGGTGGAAATAAAAAGGTTGTGAATATAAATCTTTTGGATGGTAGTGGATTTCGAATTGAATGTCAATCGTTGTGTGCGACAGGTGAGTGTACATTGTCGTCGTTTGTATTTAAGATGACTCGATCCAAGTGTCAAATGTAATTCAGTTGTCTCTAACACTTACGTATATCATATGTTTTAACGATTTTTTTGTCACTTCAGTGTAAGTATCTTTTTCTTTACAATTTTATTTATATGCTGTACGTAGCTATGTGATTAGTAAATATTACTCTTGTACATATATGGTATATATCAAAGTTCGTGTAATGTTTGAAGTTCACCACCTGTTACTACCTTATAGTGTCATATATAACATGTAATATAATCTCATTAGATTCGAAATAAAACAAATATCAATAAACAGTTTTGATTTACGATTTATATCGTGCTTTGTACAATAAAACCTCGCTAAATTAGCAGCTTTTAAACGAAATATGCTAGGCCATGTCCTTTTCATTGTCTGACCGACATCGACCTATATTACTTAATAATGTTACTTATCGCTTTCCAGCCGAACGAAAAATTATTAACATTTTAGACGATGTTTTTGTTAATTGGATTAAAAAAAATGCGTAACATTTTTAAATACATATATTTTTTTCAATTAGTTCTATTATCATCATTAATTACACAATTCATATCTTGTTATCATTTACAATTAAGTAGCATGTACTGTCCAATAAAAATAATATTATCATTGCAAAGATGTACGACGAAAAGCAAAGGACATGGCACACCTGTAGATACGAAATGCCGGACTAGTGGAAGTTGAAGAGTAGAAAATAAATAAGCAGAAAGCAGTAGAAGATAGAAAAAAGAGTTGATCCATACGTAGTGACTACGCTATACAGGAGTATATAAGGATAATGAGTCACGCTCAGCAGCATGTACTTGCAAGTGCAATAGTTCTTGCTCTGATAGTGGTCTTCGGCATCCATGTCTTCCTGTTTCCTATGTACACATCCAACCCACCAGCTCGCCATATAAAGATCTCATCATATGAGCAAGTTCTTTGCCGCACTACCTTAAAGAATATCAGAATACCACCCGAATGGAGGAACCCCTGTCCCAAGTATGGAATAGTTTCTGCAGTTCAAGGTGGCAGGCTTGGAAATCAAATCTGGGAATATGCATCAGTGTGGGCCACTGCAAGAAGGACTGGCTTGGAACCATTTATGCCGCGTTGTATATTAAAAACTCTTGAAGAATACTTTGAAAATCTGAGTATTCCACCACTCAGTTACATTGGAAGATGTAACTTGGATGTTAGTCAAGTTGTTAATTCTCTTAGTCAATGGAACAGTACAGAACAGAATATCATTATACCAAGGTAAGCTCTTTTATTATTTGTTGCAACTGATATTTCATGTTTTTTAATAATTTTACTCTGCAGGCATGCAGCTTATTGGTCTCTTATTCTGGTGTGGTTGGATGATGTACGAAGAGAATTTACATTCAAGCCAAATTTAAGAGCTTATGCAGAAAAAGTATTGAGAGAGGTGGCAGAGGAATTTAATTTATCTGAACCAACATTTGTAAGCGTGCATATACGAAGAACAGATTATGTGGATTACCTATGGCAGAAATTAAAGATCAGACCTGCACCAGTCAGCTATTATTTCGCGGCAATGGATTACTTTATTGGCAAGTATCGTAATGTAGTTTTTGTAGTAACTAGCGATAATATAGTTTGGTGCAAGTATAATTTAAATAGCAAAAGACATAGAATCAAATTCGTGTCTGATATGAATGCAAAAGGTCCGGGCAAAGATCTCGCAGTTTTATCAGCATGTAATCACAGTATTATAGATTACGGTACGTATGGTTCGTTCGGCGCAATTTTAGCTGCTGGTGAAACCGTTGTATATAACGTAACAACATACTTTTCTACGTTAATTGCCGAAGTTTTGCCAAATTGGAAGATAATGAGTTGAATAAGAATCAAAAAAATATTCTATGGATCTCAAATTAAAAGTAATGCATGTACAAATATTTTATTGAAAATACTTTTTATACGGAGGAAAATACTTTTAATGGTTATTTCGTTCAATTTTATAATGCAAGGATAATATTATCTGTATTTCTTTCAAAATTGAAACGAAAATTTTCTATAAAATTTTTTTTATTAACACAAGCGTTTTTCTTATTGCTTACAATTTTTAAGATAAAATTTTTAAGACAATTTTTTTTCTTAAATTCGAAAATTTAATTTATTATATCAATATAGCAAAGAAACGGCATACATATAGATATTTACCATAGAGGCTTGTCTTTGAAAGGTTTATTGCGTATTCATATCTGTTCAACAATTTCTAAAAACCCAAATGAAAGTGTAGCATTATATTTTACAAAATTTTTATGAAAATAGTATAAGCATAATGCTAAATTATATAGAAACAGTACGCATAGTTTTTCACTTAATTATGGCACTATAAAATGAAGATATTAGAAACCCACGCACTTTTAATGATAGCATACTTTAATGAATACATAAGAATCTAATATAGAAGAGGGATATACACAATGGAACAATGGACCACTAATGTCTAAAATTAAAACAGATGCTTATTTTTTTTACTATCTATGATTCATATTCATGTGGCTCTGAGAAATTAAATAGATTCAATATTCTTTTGACATAATGAACCAATGAACTGAGACTAAATCTAAAAATCTGCAAGAAGACTTTACAGTGGTCAAATTAAAAATTAAAAAATTAAAAATTGCTGTATGTTCATATTATTATTTCTAAAATCATGATATCTCTTCTGTTGTGATATAACATAACAATCGGATGCAAAATATAATTAAATTACATTATATATATTTAAGACATTTTTCAAGTGTGAAGAACGTTAAATCGGACTTGCAGATATAGAAAAAAAAAGTATTAACAAACCATAACTCTTATGATGTACAATGATTTCAACTGTGATTCTATTTCTTATTGTGCCAAATTCTTAATACATATACATGTATAAAAAATATATATGTATACATACGTATATATAATTATATGTGTGTACAAAAAATATAAATGCATTCGCATATACGCGTGTGCTTATATACATACATAATAAGATTATATCTATACAAAATATTATATAATGTTTTCAAATGCATAATAAGGAAAAAACCAATGAATTATTTCTTCACTTAATATTTAAATGTTTTTGGAACTGACAAAATTAATAGATTCGAGGGAAAGGTATTTTACATAAGCCCAATATATATATATATATACATATATATACATATATGTATTTAAATGTTTGAACCTTATTAACCACGTGACCTGATATATTCGATTTATAATATTTTGTAAATTAGACTAGTAAATGTGTCTATGTCTATATATGTCATAATATCTATATATAAAATCTATATATATACATACATATATATATATATATACATATATGAAACATCTTCAGTATAATTGTGCCTGTTAGTTGTTAAATAATTATAAAAAAAGATATAATGGAGATGCATGATGATTTATAATTGAAACAAATAATGAAAAGATTGATAGATAGAATTGTATGAGTACACAACTATCAGGCATCAATATGATCTACTCTGTACATTCTGTGATAATTTTATGTAATTTATAAAAAAATAAAACGGATGCGCTGAAACTTATTTGTTTCACAAAATAAAGATATTCTGTATCGGATATCATTTGAATTTTTCTGCATTAATCTGATTTTATTATTTTTACATTTCACTAGTTGTTAGTGAAAATGTATTATACGATTAATCAAAAATAAAAAATGTTATTAAAATTGAATAGACTAATGATTTGAAGTAACAAGACCAGCTGGGCCCAATCCTAACTTTGTAGTTATTGCCTTTACTCTCAATGGTTGAAAACCAAGTTCACTCTTTGGAATTCCATATTCTTGTAACTTAGCTTCATATGTTCGGAGTAAATCGTCGTGCGCTTTACAAACTTTTGCTAATTCATACTGAAGATCTTGTATTGCGTTATTTTTTCTATTCAACATATTCTACAAAAAAATATTGTATTTAAAAAAAAAAGCATATCTTGCAATGATTATACAAACCTCTATTTTTTTATTAGCGTTAAGAACAGCCACTGGATCCAATTGAGCAGCAGTAAGCACTTCACTGATCTGTGCCTCACGCTGTTCTAATAAATCTGATAATTTCTCAAGTTTTTTTTCTAAAAGAACATTCTTTAAACCAGTCTTCTGTTGGAGTTCAAGTATTGCTGAGACAAATCTTGAATGTAATTCATTTCTTTCAGATTGGCACTAAACAATAAGATAATTTCAATGAATTAATGTAATTTTATTTTTAAAAAAACATATATTGTTTATTTACCTTTTCAAAACGTAATTCTAATACTTCATTTTCCCATTTTAAATTTTCCAAATCTTTCATAGTTATTGCTAGTCTTTTTTTAGTATTCTGAAAGAATTAAAATTTTATATAAAAAGTTACTCACATATGTAAAAAGAATTGTAAATACTGACAATCAAGCTTTGTTTATCTTTATCGTAATTTGCAAGTTGACGAGTAAAATTTGCTAAAGATTCTTCATATGATTTTGCATCAATAGAATATTTTTTATTTTCTATAGTTAACTCTCGCACTTGCTTTTTCATGCGTTCTTCATTACTTCTCATTTCATCCATTTGATCCTACAAATCCAATAATATTATTGTAGATATAAATAACTTGTTTTTTCAATTAATCGTACCTTCATACTCTTTATCAAAGACAAATTGTTAAGGGTAATATCATTATAATAAGTTTTCATTTCCGCAAATGCAACTTCATGGTTTTTTATCAAATTTGCAATTTGTGTATTTTTTCTTTCTTCCACTTCAGTTATTTCCATACGATGTTTCAAAGTAAGAGATTCATATTGACTCGTCAACTTGTGTTCATATTTTTGCTCCAGTTCTTGAGCTTCCGTTTCAAATTGTTTTATTAACTTATCTGTTTCTTCCGCATGTTGCTAAATAACAAATATAGATATGTAAAATATTTAATAATAATAAATGATATTTTGTATTTCTTTCGTACCAATTTTAATGTTTTTATTTCATTTATGTGCGCCAAATCTTGTTCTTTTTGCAATCTTTTTAATTCTCTTTTATCTTTAATTAATTCATTTTCTTGAAGAATATGATCATCTTGTGCCATTTTAAGGGCAACCATGTGTTCAGCTTTAGTTTCTGATAAATTGGTTTGATGCTCATACATTAAATGTTTTACTTTTTGTTTATACAATTTGAGCTCTGCTTCATGTTTTTCTGATAACTCTTCTTTTTCGCGTTCTTTATTTCTTAGAAAATAGCATATATAAGTTAAATTTATTAAAATGTCAAATTTATAATCAAATATACAATAATACCTGACAGTTGCCTGTGCTTCATCTAATTGATGTCTTGTAATTTCCCAAAAAGTTCTGATCTTATCTCTTTCAAGTTGAAAAAAATTTCTTTCTTCTCGTTCACGCTCCATTTCTTCAAGTATTTTGTGTACATAAAATTCTAATTGTTCTCTATTCATTTTCGTTGTATCTATTCCATCAACAGTGGCAGGTGCTTTCACCTTTTTAGGCCCCTACAAAAGGTGAGTATAAGGTAAAATAATTTTTATGCATGTAATTAAGATTTTATAGATTAAATTATTGTAAATAGAAATTTCAAAACTCACCATTTTTATTAAAAAAATCAGAAGAATGGGATATCACAAAAATAGATATCTATTTCTCTATCACCGATTTACAAATAATTTATAAAAATAAATTATAAAGTACTCCAGTAGCAATTATTATTTTAAAATATTGATATCTTATCATTAGCAAATGTAAAACCACTCTAATGTGAAATTATATAGTGTTGTCAGATTAGTTGCTAAGTAACCAAAACTTTACAGTATTGATGATACATGTATATAAAATATGTACAATTTTATAGTATGTATGTATAATAAAGAAAATATTTTATTTCTCATTAATAGCATAATTTTATTACAAATAAATAAATATATATATATGAAATAATATGAAAACATTAAATGCATGCATAACGTAGCCTAAAAATAGTTTATAATAATAGTTTAGAGCTTTTAACATCTCGCGCCCAATAAGGAATTTTTTATTAATATAACAAAATTACATTTGTTTCTATACCATAAAAATAAAGTTATAAACAAATTTTTATATTTGTAAATTCGTATAAATGTCAATTATAACGCTAAACATATTATGAAATATTAAAAAAAAAAACATTTTTCTTACAGTGCTATAATACAAATATTGTGATAATTCCCTTTTTATTGTTTGTCACATTATAAATTATTCTATAAAAAAATCTAACAATGTATCTATATCCTGTCTATATCCTGAAGCACCGTATGCATAAGACATTAATATTTAATAATGAATATATATTACCCAATGTATTTTTTAACCCATTTGCATCTACCTATGCTACTAAGTTGAGATATTAGCGGCATTTGACTGACATATGAATGAAAATTGCCGGAATAGTCCGCGCTTGGTGATAAATAACGATCGCCATGTGCGGAATATTCCGCTTACGGATGCAAATGGGTTAAAAAATAGCTAAAAAATGCATGTAAATAACCTATAAATGTAGCCATTAATCAATATACTTTGTAGTAATTTTAGCCATTATCATTACAAAGCATGTATATTTTATGCTTTTTGTAGATCAAAGTAAATAACGAAGTCAATAGTAACAACAAATATTAAGTACTTACTAATGCAATTACTTTCCCTCTTTTTCTATTTTTTTGTTTTTATGATAATTATGAACAATTGAAAAATCGTACATATAATAAATATCATGCCTTGTATGAGAATCTGAGCGTACATTTATATAAATATTTAGAAAATAAAATATGAGGTAGACTCATTTTACTGATATAAGGAATATTGTGGTAAGTTTTATGCGTTTTGAGTTTTGGTCCATTGTAAATTCCTGTACAAACTCATGCAAGGGTTGTGCCCATTAGATATATCATAATAATCATTTAACGTATTTCCAAATAATTATACTGTGCTCATTGATTAAAATTATAATAAATATAGTCACATCTGAAGGTAATACAATCCTGACTTTAAGTTTATATCATTGTTAAAATTTGGTGTAATATTGTAATTGCATATACAACATATACAATACTTCCTGAGAGAAATTAAAATTAGATAATAAAAATAAATAATTACGTTAAATAATTACATAATTATCCTCATGAAAAAATTGAATTCGAATATCAAATGGAATGCTAATATATATATGTATATATATATGTATATATATATGTATATATACATATATATATATATATATTATTCGTCTTTCTATAATATTAGTTTGTTTCACCTTTAAATTGGAGCAGACATCCTACTGCACCAAAATAACCCTACAATTAGAAAAGAAAAAAAGACATAAATACATTTTTTCAAATTTTTTAAGCTTATATAAGAATATTTCATATGTTCCACCTCATGTTCTAAAAACAAAGCTTTCATCGTTCCTTTAGACCAATAATCCATAGCATAGGCCAGAAGTTTCATTGATATAGGATTTACTCTAAGAAAGTTTCCTACAAATACTACCTAAAATTACCAATTAATGTTATTATTATTAAAAATTGAACATAATAAATACATTAATTACAAGTGTTTCTTACTCTTTCAATTTTTTCGTTCACAGCACACATACGCGCGATAGAACCAATATTATTTGTAATGGTAACAAGTGTTGCGCGTGCAAGATCTTCTTTACTAACAGCATTCCGTCGATCTTTAGAATTCATCTGTCCAAAACTAAACACATAATAAAACATGTATTAAATAAAAGATGAGCTAAAAGAAATATAAAATTAAAAATAACGTTTATTTAATTATTGAAAATACTACCTGCTTGCTACAAGATCTCCAGGAAGACCAAATGGACCATAATCTCCACCATAAATATCCTTAACTAATTTATCTACTTTAGTATTATCACCTCCAGTTGCTAATTCTATTGCCTCTTCAAAAGTGTTGCATCCAGTTAACAAACAACATAATCCCAAAAATGTGCCACCACCTAAACTAAATATGAAGTAAAATTTGGTTAAAATATAATTTAATAGTATTCATTTTCATACTATTATAAACAAAACACACCTGGTACCAGATATTCTTTTATAATTTTCTGGCCCATAAACTGTTAATATGCTCACTCCTGATCCTATATTTACAAGCTGTAAAAAAAAGTATTTATAAAAATATTTACAAGTAATATACACAACTTAATATTTTATGGAACTGAACATACCAAAAAGGGATAAGGTTCAGAAAAATCATAAGGAACCTTCTGACATTTACTATCATCTGTAGGATAAGACCAATAATAACATTCATGTGGATTTGTTGTTTCTATATAGAGCATACCACGTATTAAACTATCTAATTCATCAAATTTTGCTAAATTCATATTTACTTCCTACAAAAAAAATATAGAAGTTATTCAAATTCACTGAGTACATATTATGTATTAAAATATATTAGGATAAATGTTTTACTTGTTTAAAATTCTTTTCAAATTTATATGCTCCACCACCAGTAGCACAAACTGTTGTCACAAGATTTGCCATACCTTTAGACCTCGCTAATGCTAAAAAATTTCCCATCTCACTTGTAGGAAATCTAATAAAATGTAATGTACCACGTCTACCTCTGATACATACATTATCCATCTGTAACAGAACATGCTGAATAGATTACACAACACATGGAATAGATGTAGACAAAGGATAGATTATGGCTATATAGAACTAGATTATATGCTACTCATGAAACATACTTGCAAATGTGTGTCTCTATGACCTGTTTTCCCATATGCTGAATTTTTTGTTAAATATCGTCGAATATTTTTCAAAGTTTCAACTTCTGCATCTGCTTCATCTCTTGTAATATCTTTAGGTTCAAAGTACACTAATTTAGACAATGTACCTCCTATATCCATACCAAACCATGGCATTGCTAAGAACATAAATATTATGATTTTAATAGCAATAATAAAAAAGAATTATAAACATCAAAAATATTGCAAATAATGCAAAATTGAACGAAATACAACTATCAAAAATAAATTGGTATATATAAAGCACATAATATTTATTCACACAACAACAAATTATGAGTTACAAATACAGTATAAGCTCTTATATCACAGCATAAATAATAAAAACAAAAATAGAAAATAAATAAAAAAATGCAATTATAAACATATAAAAACTAAAATATAAAAGTATAATAATAAAGAAAAGACAATGCATATAAAAAAATCAGTTTAAATGAAAATTATTATTTAAAATATTTCTTTATAATTAGTATGATTATTAAACAATCATTTCAATATAATTAATAATGATTATTAAACAATCATTTCTTATATATAAATAATAATAATAAAAGAATAAAAAATGGCTACTCTAAGCACACATACACTTGAATAACTCACAAGGTGATGAATGGTTTTTGGACTCCTTAATTGGAGTCTCGGTACTATTGTAACCATTAGATGTCATAGCTTTTGTTGTAACGTGATTTTTATAAGTTTGTGGGCTCATTGTTGATCTTCGAGTCATTTACAGTTTCTTTTAATCTAATATTTAATTTCTTGACTGAAAATTAGAAAAAATTATATTAACAATATAAAATATATCAATTTAATGAACAATCAATTTGATAAAATATTAATTCTTTCATAAATAATTTTTTTTTTTAATCACTGAACATTCTTCATGAACTAACAACGAAGTATTAAATTAAAATAACTTAACAAGCGGACTTATATAGTAAATTTTTGAAAAATGATAATATCTATAAATATTATATTATCTATTCATAGTCTCCATTTCCTTTGGCAAGTATTAAAGGTTATTCTAATTATGCACGAATTAAAAACATGAATACATTATATGACAAGTATGCATTTAAAACTGCTTGTAACTACACTAAAATTAACAATATCATAAAAGATTTCAATAGTTGTTTTAAACAATTTCCATTTGAATTCAATTTAAATTCAACTTATTCAAACGCTATATTTGTACTATATTGATAAAAATTAAATCATTTCATGGTTCAATCAATGCATATATTTCCAATTGACTAATAAAGAATTGCTTGAAGTACATCAGATAAAAATTGATTAGATATATTATTAAGACGATGAATTAACATGTATCATATTGTTGCTAGTGTATCAATATTTGCAATTAATATTAATTAATTTTGAATTATGGATGACAATTATTAATAACAATACTTGCGAAATAACGCCATCGATACGTCTCACGATCTTGAATCACAAATTACAGGAACAACGGCCCATATATGTTATATAAAAGATGAGTTTGTAGTAAATTTCAAACAAAAACCAAAAAAAAACTAGAAATACGCTACACTGAATAGATATTGACTATTGACTAATCGAAACAGGAGAGGGAACAAAATACAGGCACTATCTCTATGTTGACCAATGATAAAAGCGAAGCAATAGAAAACTATTCTACATAACTGTATTACATACGGTATATACTTAGTAGCAATAAGCAAAGACAAAATAAAATTGTTCTTACCTGGAATCGTCATTTCAAGCTGCAATTAGCTTTTTATTTCTTTTTGAAAATTTGTTAAAAAATTAAAAAATTGCGTATAATTATTAATAAAATTTTTATCAAAAAAAAAAAATAAATAAATAAAATCAAATTTTTATCAGATTTTATAACAAAAAGAAAGAAATCGAATAATAATTTTGTTTCATTAATAAACCGACACAATTACTGAAATATTGATTCAGTTTATAAAAATTCGTAAAACTTTTATCACAATCACTACTTATCTAGTAACATCGCGTGACAATTATTGGTTAATACCATCACGAAAACATGTAAGTGTCCTCGTGTCTGATATTCCTTCCTTTAAACTCTTATTTGCCTTTCAAATTCCCAGAACAACGTAAGACGACAATCGCGAAACCATAAAAATCATTATCTATCTTATCCACATATATAACATTAAATTGTATAACATTAAATTGATGTCACAAATCTATGATATTAAAAATTATTGTACCATGGAAATTTGTAAAATATTAGAATTAGTTCAAAACCTCACCCTCATAAAATTTGTTGCTACATACAAGATGATTCGAGAAACTTACAAACTTCTGATTACTTACGAACTATATTGTCTTATATTTATATTGAAATACGTATATACATATATGCTAATATATTATCATACGATCACGCGTGATTTATTGATTTAAGATTTTACTGTGAACAAGTTCATGAATATTATAATTTTACATAACAAGAAAATAATTACGAAGTTATTTTCATCATTACATATTGCATCATTGCATATTTGATGACGTTATCAATGTCAGATTAAAAAATTGTTATGTAACATAATATATCTTTCAATCTTAATCTTAATTTAACAATAAATATAATAATTGAAAGAATTACAATATGATATATTAGATCTCTTTATTAGATTTCAATGTAACTAATTTTTATATTTAATATTTAATTACACTGGGCGCGAGCCATCATAGAGATCTTCTGTGCTTTCTGTACTATATCTGGACAATGTCTACAACGTACAAGTTTACAATCTTGAAAGAATCCTTCATTTCTAGGAAAACCATGTGATCCGTCTGCATATGTAACTAATCCTAGAAACAAATGAAATAATAAATTATTAATTTAATATAAAGTTCAACATATAATTCCTACATACCTAATCCCCATACACGACCGCCACGAAATTCTCCTTCAAATTTCATTCCATCTGACCTCCAAAATACACCATGACCATGAAACCAACCTTGCATAAACTCACCTTCATATCTAGTATATAATGTGTGTTAGAAAATTAATAATTATAAAAAGTTAAATATTTATGATTTTTTATTTACTTTGCTCCATCTGGAAATATTATAACTCCTAAGCCAGAACACAATCCATTTTGAAAGCCACCATCATAGCGTGTTCCATCAGGAAGAAGTAAAGAACCAGCACCATGTTTCAACCCTTTTGCATTCCAGTCCCCAATATATTTTGTACCATCTTCATATTTATATGCACCATTCTTTACCACACCTATAAATAAATTTTCTTGCAACACAAATATTCCACACAACTTTTACATTTCTAAAACTGAGAAAAATAAGTTGTCTTACCATCACCCATGCTTCTAGTGTACTAAATGCATTAAAGAGTAACTTTCAGGTTTCAATCCTATTATAGAAATCAATTCTTTATTCAATTATGTACATTATATACAATATATAGGACAAATACAATATGATGAATCAGTTTCTTTGCTCTTACAAGAAAAAGTAGTACACTAAGAGAAATCATTTGTTTTATATAAATGCATATATCAAATTACACTCATGTATATAACTTTAAAAATATACAAAATAACTTTATTAGATAAAAATAAACGCATTTATGAATTTATGGTGACAAATTTAATGTAACAATAATCAGATCATTGTTCTTTCATTGTTCCTGGCGCACCAACTAAAAACCATCGTGATCTTGCATTTACTGCGGCTTTTCGGACTAAACGTTTTCGATCATCAATTGGAATTAATAATTTCTCTAATACATCTTGTTTGTATATATTAATAACAATCGTCGGATAATTACAATAATTTGTTAGACATTCTAAAGCTGCTATCCTGATTCTCTACAATATATGAAAATATAAAAATTGTAAAATACTATATACTAAGGAGATACTGAATAATTTTATATAAAATATTACCATCATTTTATAGGTAGATAACTTTAACAACCTTGGTACAAAACTTTGTATTTTATCAGAAAAAATACTGTGTTTAGTCTCCAATAAGAGATTTAATGTTGTTAATGTTAAAAGAATTATTTGTTCATTATCAAGAGATAAAGATTCTATTAAAAGTGGGACCAACTGAAAAAAAATATTTTATAATGATAATGAAACTGTGTTATTTATGTCAGCATGTACTGAGTACCTTAGTTAAATACATAAATAAGAGCTTCAAAGGTATTTCTTCTAACAGCTGTACAACTGCACTTAAATAATTCTGCCTTGATGTGTTTCTGAATTCAGAATTTTTTTTAATTAAGTGTTCAAATACCCTTTGTTTATAAAAAATTTTGATGTTACAAAAATTTTCTTCTACCAAACTATCCTCGTGTCTATTTGTCAAAATTTTATATTCTTGTGCGATATGTTGGCCTATTTGGTCATGTTTCAAAACATTGGTAAGCTATAAATATAATATCAAAATGTATTAAATATTAAATGTGAAATATTGAGAAAAGAATTGGATATTTTTACATACCTCATTTAAAAATATTTCAACATCTGAGGAACCTTTCGTAATTATGGCTTTTGTTAACCAGATTTGTAGAGAAGCTGCTGCTTGCATTATTTTAATATTAGTATTTAAATTTAAATTATTATTTATTATTTCTTTAAAATAAGATAAAGCACGTTGGAAACATTCATTATTGTCATTAATTTTGTTTAATATTACAGCAATAAATTTACATGTTATGAGTCTTATATTTGAATGTTGACTGTTAAGTGCTAAATTGTATAGATTTTGTAATAGATTTGTATTTATTGCTAAATCAACATTTTGACGTAAGGGAATAAAAATATTCATTATTAAAGCGGCATCAACTTCCGAATTTTTGTCACTTAAAATTGGAAAGTATTTGTTGACAACATTTTGTTGCTCTTCAAGTGTAAGACTTCGTACAATTAATCGACAAATATTTAAAACTAAATCTAATCTTTGATCCGTAGGATTAATATTAAGGGTAGTCAATTTTTCAATAATATTGCATTCATTGTATAGATAGTATTGGACATCATAATTAATATTTTCTGTAGCAACTAGCCTGTGAAGACATGTTAGAGCTGTAAAGCTTATGTCAGTATTCGTAATATTTGTTTGTAATACAATTTGTGGAAGAACTTCAATACCTAATTTATATGTTTTAGCAACAGTTGCTAGTACTTCTAGTTTACAAGTCTGTATTTCTGTTTTCTTCTCATCTGAAACAATCAAAATAATAAATATATACTTCGATGTACATATTTTCACAAATCCAAATATTAAGTGTTTACCAGCATTTAATTGAAATTTTTCTTTGATCAAAGTTGATATCTCGTGTGGATACAATGTAGCAAAACTTAAAAGAGATGAATGACAAAGTATCTTTACTTCATTATAATTTATTCCAATTAAATCGCAAATTTTATCATAAAATAAAATACGATGTGCTTCGTTTAAATACGCTTTTTGTATTTTTAAACCAAGTAATATTTTTGATTGTAATTCCATATTTTTTGTTGATAATTCATTTAAATATAAGTTTGGTATATCTGTCCACGCCAATTCTGGAACATCTAAAACATTGAAACATTGAAACATTTTTAAATACATATCTCAAAATATATGAAATATATATCTACCCTTAATAGTAAATCCATGATCAGAGGCAATTTTAACAAAATTATTTAATGTTTTGATTAAAATTATTTTATCAGTTATTGAAGTTTTAGTAGAATATTGGCCAACACATAATGGTACTATTATTTTTAGTACTTGTATACATGATTCTTTATTGACCATTGCCACGCATTCTAGCAATTCCACAGATGGTTTAAATAAACTGAGTTGCACATCATACAAAGATGAATTTACATCTGTGATTATATGATCTATGAAATTTTCACAAACTTTAATATTGCTCGATATAACATCAATTACAGACGTAACTGCTTTCAAACTTGCATTTTTTAATTCTGAATCTCCACCTGGCACAATTTCTTTTCTTAAAACAGACCATAATTCGGTCAAATGGTTTTTTATGCCATTCACACCAAATATCTTTACACCTCTGTGCAATAGACTTAAAGAGTCTAACTTAGCAACTCTGAGGTTGGAGAACAATTTATCAATTATAAGTGGCATACAAAATTCAGCAAATTCTGGTATAGCACAAAGGCAAGGTGCCAATTTTTCTGCCAAATCATCACGTGTTACTCCTTCTGTTCCAGACTGAAAAATGTCAAGTCAAATTACAATTCACATTCACAAATGATAAACAATTAAAATCTCGATTGCTTGATTTAATTACAGGATTGAAGTCAACTGGAAAATAACATGCAATGACTTCAAACATTTCTTCAGTTAAATGGCCTAATGAGAATTGTTTCATAAAATGTGGAAGTATGCTAAATAATAACATAAGATTTCTGGGATCCCTTTCTCCATCTATAGTAGTAATGACTCCATAAATAAAATCTGGCCCCATAGCTTTTAAATCTTCTGTCCTTTTTTCTACTAATGTTGCAAGTATAAAATATATATTCTTGCGTTCAGATAATAATTGGGATTGGCACTGAACATTTTCAAAAAGACCCCTAAGCAAATGTTCAGGCGAATTCTTAGGCAAATGATCCATTTGAACCTGAAGCAATTACATTACCTTATTTCAATTGTTATATTTAAATTATTACAATATTAGATACAATGCAAAACCTACAATTGCCAGAATTCCTCTTAATACTGCTGATATGATGCTATAATGATCTCTCAATTTGTCACAATAAAATGACGTTATAAAACGCAATTCAGCTTCATTCAAGAAATCCTTAGACAAATGGGATAAAATGGTAGAGAGGGCAGAAATGCCCTTCTCTCGCATTGTAACATCTTTTTCAGTTACAAAAGGTTTGAGTTCCTCCACAACTGCATGAAGTTTTGCATGTCCTGACTGTATTTCTAAAAATTAAATTAGTATAATTATTTTCAGGCAATGTATGTACCAGAGAAATATACATTTTTCTATTTCATTTATTTAAAAATATATAACAATATCAAAACACGCTACTTTCATTGTTATTTTTGCTGCAGATAATATTCTAACGGATCAAAAACAACTTGTTTTTTTCTTCAAAGGTTAGTCATCAATATGTGCAGAAAGAATATTCATAATACATGATACCTGAGGCGATCTCTTGACACGTTACGTTCAATACTTCGTTCTCTTCAAAAGCATCAAGAAATCTTTCTTTAAAAACACTGCTTGTAAGCGAAGCCATTGCAAATCATGCCTTCCTGTATTACTGCGTTACTTAACCTTAGTATATCAATAAAATACAATTCTATCGAGTATCGCGAGCGTAATTAATTTTTTTATTTGAAATTATTAAATATAATTTGATTGGAACGTGTCCGGTGGTAATTATTACGTCACGGGATAATGCGTCGATGAAATATCAGATATAATGAAAAATTGTTTGTAAAACTTGTTTTATTTCAATTCAAAACTCGTTTGTATCTGTTAACATTTCAGGTTAGGTTACCAAAGATTCGATTATAGCGCCTCTAATGGTACCGATTTGCAATTTAGTGGATAAGATGGACGAAAATGGCATGCGAGGTGTTGTTAAATTTTAGTGAAATGTTTGGTTACACCAGCCACCTAGAATGGGAGGCTGCATAGGCATAACGAGGGCAAGAAATGCCTCCGTCGACAATACTACAGGAAATTCCACGAGAGTAAATTCAGGTAAAAAGATTAAGATAAAATTATCTCTCTAGAAAATGCAATCAACAACAGCTAACCTTGAAGACAATCCAGGTTTTTTCTTTACGTTCCTATCTAACGTTTATTGCGTGTTATGCATTGGAATTTGCATATTATTTATTACAAAGCACGTCAAACAATCATATATTACGTAGTACATTATCTCGTGGTGTTGAACGAGTTCATCAAAAATATTATTATATTTGTTGCTCCTATCATTAAATTTGGCACTTTTACTTTATTATTGAAAATTAAAGAATTTTTAAATTGCTTATCTCTTTGTTGAACTTTAGAATCATTGTACTATATGTAACATGAGCAAATGTCTTAATCCAATATAATTATTTCTATTTTTAACATGTTTCTTATGTGATTCTTTAATTTGATTAAAAAATGAATGTATTAGTTGTGTTACAAAAAAAAAGTGTTCTGTTTATGTAGGAAATTCAAGAAAAAATCATCCATTATGTCATGAGGCAATTAGATGGAAATCAGATGTACCTTTGACAGAAGGACAGCTAAGAAGTAAAAGAGATGAATTTTGGGATACTGCACCCGCATTTGATGGACGTAAAGAAATATGGGACGCATTAAGAGCTGGGGCAACAGCAGCAGAAGCCCAGGATTACCAATTAGCACAGGCTATATTAGATGGAGCTAATATTTCTGTGCCAAATGGCTTTTTAACCGAATGTTATGATGAACTGGGAACCAGATATCAAGTCCCTATTTATTGCTTATCATATCCAATTAATATTGTGAAGGAAGATAGTGGAAGAGACTCCCCTGCGGACTGTTCAGGTAATTTAACTAACAACTATTTAATAAACTTTCTCAAAGGATTCAAGAATGTTCTCAAAAAGGAAAGTAATTTTTTACATCATCTTAATTATAGAACCTATTGATAGTGGAGTTGAACAGACATTGAAACTGAGATTGTCAACTACATTAGGAGAAGTTAAATTGCCTGTTTACAGTAAAGATACTATTGCTACTGCTAAAAAGAAATTGCAAGTATGTACAAAATTATATATACTAAGCTTATTTTCTTTATTTTGTATTAATTATTCATTTAATTTACATGGATAGAGTCAGGAAGGTCTAGAACCATCTCGTCAAAGGTGGTTTTTCGGCGGAAAGTTATTAGGTGATAAAATGCATATAGAAGAAGCAAAGATACAACCAGGCTATGTAATACAAGTAATTGTAAATCCAGAAAAATTGGATGACAGTCCTGTAAAAACAAGTTGAGCTAATGTTATACAAGATATACAAGTCATACTGAATCATTTTTCTCTGATAAGCACATTCTTACCTGCATTCAAAGTAAGAATATCTTTTTTTTTTTTTTAATTTTATATTGTGTCACTATTAAGAGCAAAGCAGCAATTCTTGAAGTGATTTTTTATAATAAAATGCACTTACAATATAATTCTCATAATATATATAATTGTTATAAGGATTAAATAATATTGCGTTTAAATTGTGGGTTGTGATTATTTAATTTTTATTAATTTATATGTTAGCTCAAAAGCAAAATACAGTGCTAAATACATGCAAAAATAAACTGTTAAAGAATCCTTATTAACGTTGGTTTAAAGTTAAACACTTATACAAAAAGATGTATAAACACAATTGGTATTGAGATAACACTTACCTCATAACAGGAATGTTGTTATACTTATTTGTTACTACCAACGAAGGTGCTGGTGCTGTAACACTTGGGAAACTAAGTATACATGTAGAAAATTATTCTATGCTGCTTATTAAATCGTATTGCATAATTATATGATATAAAAATAAAAATGTACACTTAAAGAAAGATTATAATAATAATAATAATAATAACAATAACAATAATAATAAGAAAAATTACATAAATAATTGATGAATATAAAGATACAATGGACAATAGTGAAAAAAAAGAAACAAGGTGTATGCTATATATTATTGAATTGCATTTTTTTGTATCTTTTACAGATTCCATTTTCTAAGCTTTTTGAATTAATAATTAATAATTATAATTTTTCTAAGAATAAATTAATAGAAAAGATTATTAAGAGCTTTTGTTGCATAATACGTAGAATATACATATAACATTTTTGTTTAAATTCATTAAATTTTTTTAAATGTATTGTGAATGTTCATAAGACATAAATTCGAATTATTTCACAAAAATACATGTTTGGCCTATTAGTGGCCTAAAATCTACGATTCCTTCCTATAAGTACTAATAAGATATTATATAAGGTCTACACAGCTAAATAATGCACCGAGAAAAAAGATATAAGACTAATTAAATTACATGTGGTGCAGAATGTATAATTTTTATACAATTTTATCGGCACAATCACTATCACATCTGTGTTAAATGTGCTTATAATAAAATGATCAACACAGTGAAATCAGTACTGCTAGTTCAATTTTAATAGCACTTAATTCTTACTTCTGCTCCACATGTTGCACAGAAAAAAATGATATAAAGTATAATTATACAAAATGATATATTATGCGTGTGAATTTATTGACTGTACTAACACAGCAGTGATAAAGTTTGTTTTTCATATGCATTGATCATAAAATTATAATATATAGTATTGCGTGTGCGTGTATGTATTATACGTAATATATAAAATATGTATGTATACAGATACATATGTTGGTTTCACTATTCTCAATTTGAGTGTCAAAACAAACATATTTAATCTTGTAAGTAACTTATTTATAAATTGGGTAATTGCATACAAGTTATAATGATAAAAATGACTGGAAGCAATCATTAAAAGTATGAACGTAAGTGTATAAAATCCTGTTCATATAAAGGAAATGAAATCTTGTGTTATGCATTTCTTTGATACATTATAAAAATTAGTGCAAATAAAGGAAGCACTTGTTTTAAATTTAAATGTTTCACATATATCATTCTTTTATTCACATTAATTAATTGTGTTCATTGACTAGTAGATTTATACACAAAAAAATAAAATACAATAATTTGTAATAATGCACTGAAGGAATATTCTTGTTTGATCTAATATGTGATTTCTTTGATAAAACAATAATGTCATCTAAAGTATTATTTTAGATGAACTTTGGTCTATGCACAAATGACCGATAGTTAACAATCAATTAAAATGTAGGCCAGTTAATTTTTATGATTGATTCAAGACTCAAAGTTCTATCCCCAATATATAATAATAATTAAAATAGTCAAAATTGGAACATATACCATTTTTTCTATCAGTTACGTGCAATTAGGCTTGAGTTTATAACTATAGATGGAAATGACATCGCATTTAAAGAGAAAACATTCGTTACCAAAAACTAAGATATAAGATTCTCAAACAATAAATTCTATCAGACTGATATTAGTTTTGCAATGTAGGATTTGAGTTATTTGCAATATATTGCGAGAGACTGCATTTTAAGTTCATTTTGATTGATGTTCAAACAATACAGGAAGATTATTTTGTGTATAGTATCAATTAAACTGTTTCACGCATGTTCGTATAAAGATTTTAATATAAATGTTGCGTTTTTTAAAGTAATTTGTATTTGTGTGAATGATAATATACATTTTTCTTTAATACTCATGTCCGTATAATATTAAGCAAAAATATGTGATGCGGCTCAAGTGTCGTATAATAAAGTGAAAATATGACGAGTGTAAATAAAAAGCGTTACAATAACGAAAGTGCAATTCAGAACGCCTATTAAATATTGCTACTGCTTAATATTAATAATGCTATGTTGGACCAATATAAGGCGTTTTAAAAGAAAAATATAAAAAATCAAAGATCGACTGATTGGAGACGAGGTAGAACAACTGCCAATAAAAATAAAGTTGAATTCATTACTAATCAGAAGTTATAAAACATTGAAAAAAACTTTTGGAATGTTAATGAAAAATATTATTATAATTAGATAGCAATTACTGATTAACCAGGGTTTACACATTTTTTAAACTAATTAAACAAATTATATTATTTACCAAAGTTGGTTTTCGAAATTAGGTGTCAGTACTAACATCATTAAATATTTCATATATGCTAAGCATAAGAAAGAACAGCTGATGTTAGTAACCAACTTTTTTTAATTTATATTAAAGATATAATCCAGTCAGGTTCGTAAAGTATAATCCAGAAAAAGAAAAAAAAAAAACGCTACTAATATTTGTTTAATATTATCTTCAAATAGGTATTTATTTGTTCTTTTTAAACATGGAATTAAAAAATAAAATTTAGTAATATGGAAATACTTAAACTTTGATTGTAATAGATATATTACTTTAAAATAAATATATGTAAATTAATTTCCATGAATATTGATTATTATAACTTAATGCATTGTCAAATAAAGCGTCACATTGTGAAATTATTGTAGCATTTTTTTGTTAATTTTGAAGCAGTATAAAATAATAAAATGTTATACGATATCATAAATTTATTTCAATATGTATTTCAAATATTTTAATTCATGACACAGCCATATCATTGTACTCAAAACTATGAGACTGCCAGATTGATGACACGCACCTAGTGATACAGGTACATGATGTACTAATGTCAAAATTCCTAATAATACTTGCAAATAACCAGCACAAAGTACAGCTGTAACAGCTTTCTTTGCATTTCCAGGAAGTTTATATTTGCGAGATACGGTTGCAATATAAGTTATTAATGATAAAGTTGTGATACCCTGTAAAAAATAGTTTATAATACTATAAATTAATTTGATTATTATGATTAAAACATACCAGTATTCTATGATCGAATTGTACAGTAGTTGGATTTTCCGTGAAATTTTTCAACAAAGGTGATAATGTAAATATATCATCTGGTATCCATTTATTTGCCATTTTTGGGAATGTGTTATAAATAAGACCTGCATCCATGCCTGCAACGAAAGCTCCAGACAAAGCGGTAAAAAAAACCAATCCCTTTGTCCAGTGAACTAACATTCTAAATCTCTTCAACTTCGACTTTAGATTATTAATGTCAGCATTTGAATTATCAAGATTTATTTTTTGAGCAGGTATTAAATAATCCAAAGCATTATATAAAAATCCTGTATATATAATAAATGCCATTCCTAAATGTGTAGCCAGGCGATACTGTGAAACACGGGGTATATCTGATGGTTCCACGAAACGATTTTCCAGGCCCGATTTAACCATATACCAACCCATAAGCCCTTGCAAGCCAATTAATGATCCCAAAACAGCTACTCGGATCTTCATGCCTCGTGTTAGCATACCTTTTGCCCAGAAATAAGTTGCTGGAACTATGAATACAGCACCTATCAAACGTCCCCACATTCTGTGCAAATATTCCATCCACCAAATACGTTTAAATTCTTCTAATGTCATATTTTGATTATTGCTACAAAAAAATTTATATGAAAAATATAACTTAATAGAATTATCTTATACAGCAAAACTCTTACATCTTATACTCAGGAAATTGCTTGTAACGTTCAAATTCTGCATGCCATTGTCTTTCAGTGGTAGGCATTTTTTCACCAAGTAATTTCCAAGTAACCATGGATAAACCTGATTCTGTAAGTCTTGTTATACCTCCTATGTAAAAATAAAAAATCAAGCAATTGTGGGTTTTTCTTCTAATTTCTTTATTTACATATTATATTTTATATAATCTTATTTATTAGTACATTAGTATAATAAGCACATATATTAATTTTAACTATAAATAGTATAATTCTAAAAGTATCTTTTTTCTATTTACTGCTGTTACAATTATTTTCCATAGGTCTTATCTACAACTGTTTTTATGACAGTATAAGCACAGTAATAAAAAAACCAATAAAGAATTATACCTAGTATGACAGCTACAAAAACCATGCCACTGCAAGTTAATAACCATTTTCCAACAGATTTATTTGATTTTTCAGTTGATTTTGTTGCAAAGCCCCTTGCAATAATGCCATCATTTTTAATTAAATCCTATGACAATAGCACAAAATTATTTAATACTATTATTTTGTATGTTTAATTTAAAAGATTAATATACAGCACCTTATACAAATTGGAATTCCTTTTTATGAAAGTAAAGGTTGAATTTGTAACTACTGATTTTGGAGTATTTGTATATAAATTTTTTTTAATTGGTAGAGATCTTATTATGCTGTTTCTTGTTATTGTTGATATAGAATATCTTGTTAAATACAACATGCTAGAAAAGATTCAACTCTTGTAGTAAATTACATCAACTTGTACATATATTATGTATATGTACATGCATGTACATACTTACATTGTGATGTTATATTTTTTACATAAATATAATACTGTTGTTTTTTACAAGACAATTTTTTTTAATCAATATAAACAAATAGTTATATATTCTTTATATATTTTTTAATTTTACACCTTAATATATAAAATACTCTTGAGTGAATATTATTAAAATTGGGAAAAAATTATTTTTTAATTTATATTGTAATGCTGATACTTATTTTTAATTTATACTGTAATGCTGACTTTGTTTTGTGAATTAAGTTGTTATAATAACAGTGCAAAAAATTACAATATATATTACTATTTTATTTCAAATTCAAGAATAACAAAAGCTAAAATTATTTTGAAGATAAGAGCGGAAAAATTATGGCTTGAACACTTTACCTATAAATATTTATTTCTATTTTACTCAATATTGAAAGACATCGCGTCTTCTCTAACCTCATATAAAACAGTAGTCGATACTGAAAACGTCATACTTTCAAACTTGAAACATCAATATATAAAATATTTAATTTATATTCTCAATAAGGAATAAGAGGTAGAATCTTTTAATATTTTACAAAATATCTGATAAGACTATCTCGTTACGATAAGACAAGGTGACGTTGATAAAATTGGAAATACATGGGATAAATTAAGTGTCATTCTCCGCGTGCACAATATATGTACCATTAGTAAGTATATTAAATTCATGTTTTATCTTTAACTGTATCACATTAATCACGCATAATTTCGAAAACTTATATTTATATTAAATTAAATAATATTATTTTATTTTAGTATTCTATATAGTACTAAAGGCTTATTATAATACATATATCAATATGGCACAAAAAACCAGTGCTATTAAATTAGTCAAACTTCGAGAATTAATGGAAGCTGCCCAAGTAGGTGGTCTTAAAGGGAAAGGTATTCAGGCTTTGGTTGTAAGTTCAGATGACGCTCATCAATCAGAATATTTAAGAGATTATGATAAAAGGATTCGTTTCATAAGTGGTTTCACTGGTTCTTTCGGTACTGCAATTATTACCCCAAATAAAGCTATGCTGTGGACTGATGGAAGATACTATATGCAAGCTATAGCAGAATTTGATCCACCAGAGGCATGGACTTTGATGAAAGAAGGTTTATTAAATACTCCAACCAGAGCTGCATGGTTGATTTCTAATTTACCTCCCAAGTCTACCGTTGGAGCAGATGCTAATTTAATAAGTTATACAGAATGGGCAGTTTTACATACCAGCTTAACTGCTGCTGGTCACTGTTTGATGCCTCTTGAAGAGAATCTAATTGATAAAGTTTGGGGTGATGAACAGCCTGCTCCTACAGCTAACATTGTTTTACCTCAACCGTTACAATTTTCTGGATGCAGTGCAGGGAAAAAAATAAAACTATGTAGACAAGTAATGAATAAAAATAACGTGAAAGCACTTGTAATCTCAGCTTTGGATGAAGTAGCATACATTCTGAATTTAAGAGGATCTGATATACCTTATAATCCTGTTTTCTTTGCATATGTTATTCTTACATTAAATGAATTACATTTATTCATTGATAAAACTAGACTTATTGAAGAAGCTCAGCAACAATTAACTAATGAAGAAGTAAATGTAGTTTATCACCCATATGGAGATGTACATAATTTTTTGAAAAAAATTGCAAACTCATGTGCAAATGATGACAAAATATGGGTAAGTAATGGTTCTAGTTATGCTTTACACACTGACTGCGGAGAAGCCAAAAAGCACACAAAAATTACCCCAATAAGTGTTATGAAAGCAGTAAAAAATAACATTGAAATAGAAGGAATGAAAGCGGCACACGTACGTGATTCAGTAGCACTTGTAAAATACTTTGCTTGGTTGGAAGATCAAGTTAAGAATAAAAAGAATACAATTACAGAAATATCTGGAGCGACTCAACTTGAAAAATTTAGACAGTAAGAGAGTTTGAATACAGCATTATAATATTCGAATATAGTAAAAATTAATTACAATCTATTATCTTAAAGACAGCAGGAACATTTCATTGGACTTAGCTTTCCTACAATATCTTCAGTTGGACCACATGGAGCAATAATACATTATCTACCAACATCGAAAACAGACGTGCCAATTACAGATGAAGAAATTTATCTTTGCGATTCTGGTGCACAATATCGAGATGGTACTACAGATGTTACAAGGACATTACATTTTGGTAATCCATCAAGTTTCGAGCGCGAATGTTTTACAAGAGTATTTAAAGGACAGTGTCGTCTTTCATCGACTATTTTCCCTTTAATGATACGGGGAAATTACCTCGATACACTTGCCCGGGAAAATTTATGGAATGTCGGGTAAATATATCTATTTTTTCTTATAAAATGGAAAATATTTATTTATATTTAAATGTACAATTACAGTCTTAATTATCTTCACGGTACCGGACATGGAATAGGTTCATATTTAAACGTTCATGAAGGACCAATTGGTATTTCTTGGAAACCATATCCTGATGATCCAGGCTTACAACCTGGCATGTTTCTATCAAATGGTATAAAATAAAAGCACATTTTTTGTCATTATATTGTACATATATTCTAATAGTGTCACTATAACTGGCAAAATTATTAGAACCAGGATACTATGAGGACGAGAAATTTGGCATTAGATTAGAAAATATAGAATTGATAGTAAAGGCAAACACATCATACAATCATAAAAATCGTGGCTTTCTTACATTTGAAACTGTTACACTGGTGCCTATACAGACTAAGCTACTTGACGTTTCCTTATTAACAGATAATGAGGTATAGATTCAATTTATTCTTTGCATATTGATCGCTATAAAATGATTGGTTGTAAATTTTTTTTTCAGATTCAATATTTAAATAATTACCATACAAAATGCTTGAATACTTTGAAACCACTATTGCAAGGGCCAGAAAATGCTCAAGCACTTGAGTGGCTAGAGAGAGAAACTCAACCTCTCACGAAATAATTGCTAATTCGTAAGAACAAATTCCATAAAATTACAAAATTTTCTTATCTTTTACAGTACGCAATAAATTCTTTATATAATTACTTCAATTGCAACTAATCCCATATTCTTTAGTAACTTCGGAACTCCAATTCTTTGTAAATCAATATGTTTGCTTTATCAATGCAAAAATCAATGAAATATCTTATCAATAATCACCAAAACAACCAAGGAGGTTGATGCAATTTATCCAGAGAAGTATAAGTTAAATTCACCGGGATATTGATTAAGGCAAATGGTTGATTCAAACGTTTTAGAGTTTGCCGGATCATTTTGCCGTTTTTACCGAGCAAAAATCCAGCGGGAATGTTTACTGTCTTTGTCGACGGAATCGTATCGTCGCGTATCATCTCTATATAGTAGTACTCAGCCCATAGAGAATTAGTTATTGATTCTTCAATAGAAGATGAGTGATAATCTGCTATAATTACAGCCTTTGCCCCAGCTTCTTCAGCCATTATACTTTTAGCAAAGAAACTACAGTCTCCTCTTTCGACTAACGCAATTCTACCTTTTAGTTCTTTGGCATTTTTTGCTATTTGACAACCATGAGGAGGATCAGTTGGAACCAAAGGAATTCCTTCTTCCAAAAAACTTGCATTCTGAAAATATACATTACAAATACAATAGATAAAATTAAAACGTTTATTTTTAATATTTTGATCAGTTAGCAAAATGTACATCAACTTACGAATGGCGCTCCAAAGTCTTTCGCGGGTCTTAATTTGTATGTATACTCCAATTCCGGTGGATATATAATTTCAAAAAACACATCTGTTCCAATACTTGTGTCAAAGTACGAACGTAACGATTTGAACGTGAGGGAATGTTCTAAAAGGAATTGTTTAATTACAAATCGTTAAGTAACGTTTTCATTTATAACCTCGCGACTTTGAAATTACTAATTACTAACCTCCACCAATGCCGTCCGATATCCCAATGTTGACGAGTATGAGAATTAGGCAAGATCCAAGCAATTTTATTCCTTGCACTTGCATGGTGCATTCACATTGTTATTAATGATATTTCTATGAATATCATAAGAAATTTAATCGGATTAACATAACAGACAAGTAATAAACTATTTCGTGTGTCACTCATTGATGCGACAGTATATAGTGACACGCGACTCGATCGAATATAATAACGACCACGTTATCAAATTCTATTGGGTAATATCAAATATTATTACAAGCGTGGATATTAAAAGATCTACGAATATATATGTGGGAAACAAATTTTTATATTATTTTTGAATATTTACAACGAATTATAATTAAAAAATCGTAATAAGTTCGTTATCTGTTGATTTCCTGAGAAAGAATTCTTTTTACCAACAGTTGACAATCCAGGATAACTTCGTTTCTCACTTTACTATGATTGAAGAAATTTTATTCACATTTTCGGCGTAACTGATTATAAAAATAAAAAAAAAAGTACTAGAATTTTATTTTTATATGAGCGATAAATTTAGAATACGTACATGGAATGATTATGTAAAGTAAAACCGAAACCTTCTGCTATCTGCTGGCGTAGAAACGAACTTTTTACTAGAAATTGTCGAAAAAGAATTGCTTTTTTCCAGATAAGTTCACATCATATTCTCTCGAAATTTCCAGGTAAAACGAAAAAGGGTGTTCGATTCTCGAACAATCAAATCAACTATTTCGGCTATCGATAAAGTACAAAATTGCAACGACGAAAGGAAGTGAAAATATGCGCATGCGCAATACTCCACTGCATTTTATGAATGGATGAACAAGTGAATGAACAGACGTCAGCTGCGTAGGTTCGGTACATACACGTATGTACACTACTTGTGAATCCTATAAAATTGTAAAATACATTAAAAACATTTTCACATTTCGTTTTAGGATATATTACTTAAGAATTGCAACTCAAATATTAGCATGGAATAGATGACAACGAGAGAAAATATAAAATTGTATAATGCAATTAGACTAAAAAATAAAATGTATGTACATATTCGTGTTTTTAAACATTTTATGAACATTTTTCTTTTGTATTTTTGACGCAATATGGACTGAATCTCAAGTATTGGACAAGTCGAAATATACATTCACATTTTATTTCTTTCATGAGAGACTTGTGACGTAAATGGTAGAAAGTCGAATAGTAATCGCCTTTTTTTTTACTGCTTTTCATTGTGCAGCGAGTTCGAAATAGCAAGTTACACGCGTACGTTTCCCGCCCACGAATCCGCGATCCCATTCCACTAGATGTATTGTGGGATTATAAAATATTTTAATGAAACGTAATGTTTGGTATTAACTCGTAATGTTTGTTTTCGTTTTTTTTTTTTCCAAATTATTGACGCTTGATTGATATGAAAACCGAGTGATCGATTTGCAGTCGATCGTTTACCAGAGTACATTTCAAACGCTTTGGTTTTATCAAATATAAATAATCGCGAGATAAAATTAAATAATTTTACTCCAATTTCTATCTCCGACTTGAAATCGTGAAAAGCACGAATGCACCGTGACAAGTATTACTTCACCGAGTTCATTTTAAAGTCGATTCATAGAAACGGAATCCCATTGACGTTAATGTACTTAAAAACCTAAAATTGGAAGAACCGACGACATCCACGAAACAATGTAATTCCTCTAATCGAATGCATTTGTATACTTGGCCAATCTCGTTACTCGAGGATTTTATGCATTTAAACTGCACGTAAAACTTATGTAAAATGCACATCCCCCGGTTTAAAAGTTTCTTAGAACGCTTTAATATTTTTAATAATGGATATTTGATGTAGATTACAAACTTTATCTTGCGTGCATCTTTACAGTTTATACGCGAACTACCTTCTTTGCCGCATAAACTATTTTAAAACTTTAAAGCGTAGACGTGTATTAGACATTCAAAGTACAATGTATTGAAACAAATCTCTACTTAAATCCTGTTTCTTTGCTAGAATTGAAGTTAATTGAGTTCAAGTTAATTGATTATCGTATGTTTATTGTTCCTCGCATGGATACGAGCCTGCATAAATATCCCGAGTCTGCTTGTCGTTATTCTCGGTTGGTGCAAAAATCAAACGTTGCAACGGCGCAACACAAAGTGACACAGAGTCCCGGGTAAAAATAAGGAGTGGCGATCAACGTAATTCCTAAAATATCTGCGACGAACGTACGAGCCGACTATTTTTGTAACACCTTTGCAACCCTCTGTGGTGAGTGGTGGTGATGGTGGTGATGGTGGTGGTGGTGGTGGTGGTGGTGGTGGTGGCAGAACAGTGCAAACGTTTGCTCCCTTTCGCAGACAACTCCATCCCTCCGGATTACGACGGCGTCAGAACTTCTCCTCTCACCCCCTCCGCCCGGAGAGTCGGGGAGTATGATGGTGGTAGGGAGTGGCAAAAGGGAGGGGGGAGGGGTGGCAGAGAGGTAGAAGGAGAAACAGAGGGTCGTCAGGACGCTCTCCCCGGACTCGAGCGGTCAAGGGCAGTGGCGTCGCGTGACGTCATACGGCGCTGCAGTGACGCAATCAGTCGCCAGGGCAACTCGTCGGCTGACGGTCGCCAGGCAACCCTGTTGTTGCTCCTCTAGCCCCGGCTTCTACCCCCTGCCGTGACCGTTCCATCGAGCTCGCGGTCGCGTTCTATCCTCTGCACGTGCCGTTCCTCAATGAATCCCCCTTCGCTCTCTCGCGCCACCTTTTTGCCCTTCCCCACTACCAGCACCGCATACACCGCTTCCACCGTCTCTCTACCTTGCTTTTACGTCGACGTGACCCTAACCCCCAGCGAGGACTTCTCCGGATGCTGCCCGTACACGCGACCCGATCCAAGGATTCTTTCCTCTTCCTCTCTCTCTCTCTCTCTCTCTCTTTGGTTTCGATCATTCCTCACTTATCCAGAACGTTGATTCGTAGTACAATTGCAAAATGTATCGTTGCATTTATTATAATACGTATTGTTTAAATTTCGTCTCCTTTAGGTTTAGTATTTTCGTAGTATAAAAAACGTGACATTACGAAAGAGAAAAAAGACGTTTCATCTGTAGAGGATAAGATGTGCAAAAGGTTACCAATCGATCTATCTTTAATCCACTTGTCTTTATTAAGCTTTCGACATCATAGATTCTAGCCGAGGGGCGATCTGTTTAACAAATTAAATCGATAGTGTCCTTTTATAAGAAACTCAACTCATCCCAATTTCTGTCGTTCCGTTCTAGGCAGACCACCTAGCAGCCGTTTCACCCCTCGCGGCCGGCTTACCGAATTGCGTCACACCGTTACCAGAGACGCGAAATTCGAGACCTCGCCAGCTCGTTATATACTGTTCTTTCATCGATCTCGTCGGATAACACGAGAATGGCAAAAATCGTAAGTCAAAGGTAAGCGATACGGATCGTAGGGGTTAGAGATGTAGTTGGAGATCGGTGCAGCGGCAATAGACTCTTTCTCCTTGAGCTTAGTGCTCTTAAGACACACGATACACGTGCACGTTATTATTATTATTATTTTCATTTTTAATTCATTAATATGACTGATGGTGTTCTTTTTCCGTGGCGTTGTTCATAATGAAACTTTATATTAATATTTAAGTTAAAATGAACAAATAGCCGACTGGCCTTTCTTATATCGATTCAATATTTTCTCAACGTATCACTCTACGTTCGTCGTGTAATATAATCGAAGAAAGTACATTTTCTTAGTTTTCGTTGATCTTCGAGGATTCATTGAGAGATTGTTTCCTGAAGTCTGTTGAATGGAAGATGCTCTCATGAAATGCAGAAGCATTTCAGAGTATTCGTGACCGATTTTGAAATGTTTCAGAATGATCTCTGCATATACAGCCAGACACCTACGTGTATGCGTCTATGGAGTCGGACCACGAGCAAAGCAGCAACAGGTTTAATCGCGTCGGGGTGTGGCTGACTGACTGGCTGGCCGGCTCCGCTCATTCGGCTGCTCTTTTGCCGCGTCGATGCGCCACTCATCGTCAGCTGGGGAAAACCTGGACACCGGTCTGGAAATTACAATAAAATGAAAAGGAACAGAAAAAAAAAAATAGATCAAAACAAACACGCTGGATTTCTCGGTGATCGCGTTTTACCGGTCGTTTCTCTGACTCGAGCAAAGAAAACCGACTGCTGTTTCCTCTGGTCTGCTCTCCTGCTGTCATATACTTCATGCCTCGTTATCAGCTAACTTAAAAAAGAAAAAAAGAAAAATAAACCATAAAATAATAATAAAAAAAAAAAAAGAATAATGAAGAAAGGAAAAAAGAACTACGATTGATAAAAAAAAGTGGTAGAAAAAGTGTTGTAATATTTATCGACGGATATCGATGGATATCGACAGACTCGGCAGACGTGACGAGTGTCAAGAGGGATGAAGCTGGCGCGCATAATCGGAAGTCGCGTTGGTGCAGCGTCGCGGCGGGGAATCAAATTTCAGCAACACCTACGGCGAACCACGGTGCCTCGGAGTCGACGTTACCTGACTCATCCCATCGTTCGATCGTCCGGCCGGTCGCGCGACCCAACATGCATTTTTCTTCTTCGAGGGACCCCGGCCCCGGAGCCTTGCATATCCACGGAGGAACTATATTTTACGACAATCTTTTTGCTCGGCTGCACGCGCGCCAGCGCGGCGTATACGCGATCCTTATGTGTCGTGCGAGGAGCGCGTCGTGCTTGTCAGTCGTTAGTGGGAGGGATGTCTATGCTGGGAGAGGGAACGAGAAGGAGAAGCGGTTCGAGAGTCGCGGAGCGAGACGGAGATGAAACGACAACGAGAGAGGTTTAGATCTGTTGGTTCGTAGAGAGAACGAGACGGAACGATCGAAGGAGAAAGCGGGAAGCAGCTCGCTTCGAGACGAGGATCGAGGCAATCGAGGAAGAGAGCAAAACGAAAGAGAGAAAAGGAGATAGGGAATGCGGAGAACGAGAGAGAGAGAGAGAGAGAGAGAGAGATACGACGAATGACTTGGTAGAAGAAGGATGGGGCAGAGTCGCGGAAAAGAACGTTGGGAAGAGGAAGAGAGGATTGAAAGAGGATGGGGAATAATGGTGGAAGAGGGACAGAAGGTATCACGAAGTGCAGAGGAGGCCTCATCTCGATCTTGGTCCTATTTATAGACGTGCTCTCACAGCCTCACTCCTGCCCACTTCTTGCACTGTCTCTCCTATATAGGTGTGCATACACCTATGTAGTGGCCATTGCACGTTCTCCACACGCGAGAGCCAGCGAGCCGGCCAAAACTGTTCGTCCGAGCGCGAAGAATCGATGACGTGGACTCTCTCTCGCTGAGCGTCGAGACGCTGGCTGCCACCAGTAGTTCTCTTCTCGTAGAGAAACTTATCCACCTCGAAAGACATCATCGTCTTCCGTTAATTAGTCGATTACGGGAACGGTCGTTTCGTCGTGACCGGTAGCACGAACCGGCACTTCTTTTTTCTTTTTTTTTTTTTTTTTCGGCTCCTCAGCTGAATCATATGGATTACCTTTTTTGGAAGAACCAACGTCGCTCTGGGCAACCAACCGACGACGATTCTTTATTTCGACGTGTTCTCGAAATCGTCTTTTCCTTTTCTCTTCCCGGAATCTTTCCACTCCGAAAATTGCATAAAATGAAACTCACTTTACGTCATTACGTCGGAAAATACAATACTTTCGCAAGGAGTTTTCGAATTTTCCACGAAATTTTCGCGAAAATTTAGCGAAGCCAAACCTGGACCGAATGAATTGGCCCCCGACCGATGGCCGATCGATAAAGAACTTAAAGAACTCGGCAGTGGAGAGAGGGAACTGCAATATCGAGTCTGTCTCGAGAAATAGAGAAAAATTGGCACGCGCGACTGCTGCTAATTGCCGGCTGTTCGCGATTGGTATCGTTCGCGCCGCGGGAAAAAATCGGCGATAAGCGTAGCCGGAAAGTCCGATCGCGTTTAGGCGCCAACCGCGCGTGTTCACGGTGAAAGGTTGTAAGCGGGAAACGCGGCAGAAAACGAAGCGTGTTCCATCGAGAGCGGCCAGTCTCGTGCAACACACACGGAGACCGGTCCTTATTAATCTCTAGGTGGCCGCCTTTCGAACGCACCACCACGGAGGAACAATAGTTCGGTCGCGTAGGATGCGGTTCGTCGTATCGACATCGCTTGATCGTCGATGCCCTATTCGGTAATTGTCGATGATCGATAAAGATGTCTGACGATCGATGAATGTGCCTGACGCTAACGCGCAAAAGGGGAAAAATAATGGTTGAGGCATACTGGAGATATCGTTCAACGTGACAAACGACACTGTTGCACACCATTTATGCTCGTGAACATATCACAAATAAGCGGCACGGACGATTTATGGCTTATCATAGCTTTCGCTGATCGCGAATACCGATAAATTCGGCAATATATAAAACTACATATCGAAAGCATCGGGGCATCGAAAACGAAACGTGCTTTCAGCTTTAACCTCGGCTTTAACCTTCCTTCTCGCCGTTAAAGGTGATAACGCGACGAGGCGAGAATGAACTTTCGAGGCAGGGGTTTGTGGTCGACGATTACGAGCGTGTTGTTGGTACCGGCGACGGGGGGGGGGGGAAGGGGGAGGAATGGGACAAGAACAACCAGACGTTGCGCTGTTGCAATGTTAACTTTGTATTTTTGTTAATAATCGTCGTAGGGAAACCGGCCAGATTAAAACGGCAACGATGATTACAACACAAATATACAGGTAGTTGAGAGATTCCTTTCTGTGCATTGCACACTCGGAGCACCATATTGTATAATAGTTACACATAATTTGTCCAATTATAGTGTAATTATCGTTCGTAAAAAAATTGTCCTCTCTACTTCTCTTTTCTCTTAATCTTCGCTAACCCATTCGCTAATTCTTTTCTTCTCCCTTTCTCTCTCGCAGTCGTATCGCATTTACACACCGATACATACATACATACATACATACAGGCAGACAGACAGACAGACAGACAGACAGACAGACAGACAGATGCAAGCATAACTTCTCGCTCTCTCTCTCTCTTTTTCTTTCTCTTTATCTTTCTCTGCTTTTTATTTCACAGGAACGCGCGTGCGTGCGCGTGTACGCTCCTCTGCCTACATATTTTCCGATCTATCTAGAACAATAGCGGATAATATCGCACACGCGTCGATGCAACAATCGCCGTGTAGGTACAGAGCGCGTAGAACGCTGGGGATCCATAAGCTGTGCGCGTTGCCGCGCGTTTCGTTATTAATTATAATTGTTATTTAATATAATTATAATATTATAATCATAATAAAAATAATCCTTTAATTTTAACAATATGTATATATATATATATATATATATATCTCCTCTGTTCATATATATATTATATATATCATATATATATAATATAGATACATATACATGTATATAGAGAGAGAGACTTTGTTTTGTTTTTTTTTTTTTGTTAATAAATAGAGCAACATATACATAATATTAATCGCCGCTAAAACTTATATTTTATACACGTAAACGATCGCAGTGTAGACGGGGAAAGGACGAGAGGAAAGGAGGGAAAGTAGGGCGACAAGATTAAAAGGAGGAAAGTGAAAGATTTTATGGGTTTCTCTCCTATTCTCTCTCTCTCTCTCTCTCTCTCTCTCTATCTTTCTATTTCTCTCGCGACTCGATTAGACGTAACTTATGTGTACATATGTATAACACGTTATATACATATTTACAAGTGAATACTCCCGATTTAACAACGATAACCGCGACTAATACAGTGTTTTTACTCGTGGGGTTTGCTGGCGGTGAAGAAGAGGGTTAATTCTCACACAAGGGACGAGGGACGCTCTTCGGGATTTGACTCGAAAGCTAAAACTCAAGGGACTCTGTGAAAAGTGAATTCTAACACGGAGTGAAAGGGGTAGCAGGAGATAGCAGGTGGTGGCAAGAAGTTTCGCGAGGACACGAAGGGAAAGAAGTCCGAGATTTAGCGTGTCCGGAGCACGAGGGATGTTTGTGAGGAACGAGTGAACGAGTTTCAGAGGTAGAGGACGATAACAAATACATGTAAGAAGCGAATTATTCGATCGTGATGATTGAAAGACACGAGGTTCGAGGACGCAAAATAGTGTGTTTTTGTGTGTGTGTGTGTGTGTGTGTGTGCGCGCGCGCGCGCGCGCGCATATGTATGTATGTAACACCGATCTAGTCCGTCGGTGTCGGTCGAATCATGAAAATGCATCAGGGTCTCGTGATTGTGCCCTCTCATAGAATTAACGATACCGATCGTGAGAAAGACATATCGAACTTTACATATTTCATCATTTCATCGGTCGAGTGTTCGTGATTTATAAAAATATACTTAGAAAATACACGTCGGTGCGCGACAATGTTGCTGGATTCGAAAATTGCACGATTATTGGCCGAAGGGACGAACACTCGGTAAAAGGATCGCAAACATCGACCGGTTTCGATCATGAGAGAGCTGGAAAAGTTGATACGCGATCCCCTGATCGTTTTAAGAAGCGTGCTCGCGCATGGCTATGTTTTTCTTTTTCTTTTTTCTCACGCGCTCGTTTGCATGCGATCGAGAGTGCGCCATTCCTCTCTCTCTCTCTCTCTCTCTCTCCCTCGGCGAATTCCTCCCTGATTCCCGGAAGCTGCGGGACGGTATTGATTCCGCGTGATTCGTTGGAGATCCTGGTTGCAGTATATACTTCGCGACACCGGAATATTTTCGCGCGCGTATCTACGCGCGGTTAACGCGCGATTTTCGCATCTGCATCTCGTTCCCGATCGCAAACAGAGGTATAAAACGCGACCGCTGTAAATAACGATCTCCAACGCGCGTTCGCTTCGAATATTCTTGCCCATCGACTTTCTTCTTCTTCTCTCTTTCCTTCTCTCCACCCCCCGCCCCGCCGTTTGCCACTAAAAGCACGAAGACCGTATACTGACAATCGTCGAGGAAACAACCTAACAGTATCTCTCGGTAAAGCTAGAATTTTCGCTCAATGCCTGTTCCAAATACAACCGTACGTATATACATACATACATACATGCATACGTACGGCGACTTTCGATCTCTTCTTTTTTTCTCGTACGAAGGGGCAAAAGGGACGGGAGAGAATGAAATAAATTGAAACGAGAGCTCGAGGGGAGAAAAAGGTTGTAGCACATACATACGTGTACTGTGTGTATATACCGCAACTTTGTGTCTCACCGTTCGTTCTCGATCGTTCCTCCAGCGAGATCAAGAGGGAAAAGGGTTCGATCGATCCGTTTTCTAACACGCGACGAGTCCGTCGTCGGGACCGACCACACACCCGGACACGGACATTTGCGCTTTACGTACCGTATCGAAACTCTAGTCCCGACTAAAAATTATCCACGACGTTATTTACAATGGATCGTTTACGGAAAATTCTCCGAGAATATTATCCCTTACGTACTACTGTCCGAGAAGTACTACTGTCTCGGTATCACGCGTCGTTATACCGGCGAGAAGAACATGCCGTCGATTCGGTGGCGAGGCCAATCCTTGGAGACGTCGAGCCCCAGTCGTCAATCGCTGGCAACGCCGACGACGATCGACGACGGATCAGTCGGTGACGGATCAGTCAGCACCAACCTGGTCTGGTTCGTCTGTTCCGTCTAAAGGTCTCCGTCGTTTCCTCATCGTCTGGCAAGCTGAGAGAAGCTGCGAGCATGATCGAAGGAGGTCGAAGGTTGAAGGAATGAGCGCGGAGATGTACGATCGTCGCATGAAAAGAGGAAGGCGACATCACCTCGGAGACACACGCACAGAGTTCGTTAAACTCTTCTTCTCTTATTGATTGCAGGGTGGAGAAGCGTGGCTCTGAGGGTGATTCCTGGCGGAGGCGTGGCTGGCCTCGCGTTTCAGCCTCTGCTTCAGGTGAACCTTCGCGTGCCGTTTCTTCTCGTCGCTCCTCGCGAACTTGCGGCCGCACTGATCGCAACAGAACGGTTTCTCGCCGGTGTGCGTCCTCACGTGGGTGGTGAGATGGTCGCTCCTGGAGAAGGAGCGCATGCAAATGCGACACTGGAACGGTTTCTGGCCGGTGTGGATGCGAATGTGCCGGGTGAGCTCGTCGCTGCGGGAGAACCTGCGGTCACAGCCGTCCACGGGGCAGGCGTACGGCCGTTCGTGGACAGGAGTTTTGCTAGGTCGATTCGGATACTTTCGTGGCTTCACCGGGACCAACCTGAGCGGCACCGGGCTCTGATGGCAAACCTGCGAGAGAATCTCGTGCCCCTTGGACGTGCTCGGATTGTACTCGGCCAGTTGAACGCCTGTCGTGCCGGCTGACGGTGGCGGCGGTTGTTGTTGTTGTTGTTGCTGTTGCTGTTGACTAGGCTGAGGTTGTTGTTGCTGTTGCTGTTGCTGTTGAATGACCGGCCCGTAGCCACTCGTCCCGGTTGGTTCCTGCTTCAGCGTGGTCTCTTGATGGTGATGATGGGGATGATGATGGGACAGGAGATTCGGATCGTACGGGTCCTCGTGCGTCGTTAACCAGGCGGCCGGAGTGGTGGTTGGCGTGTCATGATAACCTGGTGGCGGGGGTGGCTTGGATTCGACCGGCAGAAGTTCGACGGTCTCGCCGTACGGGGCTGGGTGGAGCGTCGAGTGGAGGAAGGGTGAATTTGCCAAGGTCAAGGTCGGGGAGGTCAACGGACCCCAGAGCTCCTGACTAGTCGGTTGTTGTTGCTGCTGCTGTTGCTGCTGGGGCGGCTGCTGCTGATTCTGAAGGCTGTTGAGCGGCGAGGATTGCGTGCAGGTGGTGGTGAAGACGCCACGGTAAGTCAACGTCGGCACGTTGCAGATGTTGACGCCCGATGCTGGCGTTGAGGACACCGAAGACGTGGAGTGAGGAGAGTAAAGGATCACTCCGCCCTGCAACACGTTGCAACGGTCCGCGTCCTCTTGAGCCTGATGATGACGCGGTGGACTAGTGGAGGGTGGAGCGCCGGGCGTGCCCTGATCCTGAGATTCTTGGTGATGGTGGTGCCGATGATCCCTGCTGGCCGACGTAGCTGTCTCATCGTCCTCCGCTGTTGCCTCCTCGAGAGACAGATCTTCGCCCGCCAGGCTGCCTGTAAACCATTCATTCGAATTCTCAATCAGTTCTCCGAAATTCTCTACCTGAACGACGGTGGACAATGAACGGCGTAGGCCACGCGAGCACAGGCTAGACAGGCGTGGAACGGATTCGGACGCGCGAGTGCAAGCGCGCATCCCGCGGCCTAAACGAATCAACAGGAAAGACCGCGCGATAACGCAGGGATGGCTTTATCTGCGAGGCGAGAATTAGACCGGGTGCCTCTATCTGTCGTCTGCATCCTGCCGTTCTCTCGTTCTACTTCCTCCCTACGTACAATTACAAGCACAATCGTTACTTTTACTTCCTACCGAAAATCAAGTCGGCAGGCTCCCAGTAGGAGAAAAAATGCGCGGTCATCCGGCGGTGTGACGTTCTCTCTCTCTTTCTCTCTCTTTCACGGGAATTGAATCAGACGTCCTCGAAACGCGGCATGCGCCGAGTGTGCCGAACCATCTGTTCCGTATCAATAGTGTGTCTACGTTGAGTGTGCGAGAGTAGCTACTCGGATATACTATCGGCACGCGGACGATTCCACGCGACAGCGAAAAGAAACTAGAGGAAATAGAGGGGATTATTGTGTACGGAATACGACGATAAAGAGGAACGGTCTGTTACGTTTCGTCGGCGCGAGAAAGTCGCGGAAAAGACGACTATCGGCGTGACGGAGGGTGGTTGTATCGGTCTGGGCGGACGAGGTGGGGGCTCCTGGAAGCATGAATGAACTGGCAAGGGGTGGTGGGAGGCGGAGGAGAAGGCGGAGGTGGAGGCGGCACGGGTGTGATGCAGGGACGGGCGGGTGGAAGGTTTCTGAATGTCGGGGTCGCTGAGTATTGATCCGCGACAGGCGGGCAGGTTCGATATTAGCCGTTTTCGCGAGAGCCAACCGATATACGTCACATCGCGCCGGCACATCGTGCACTTGGCCGAGACCGACCGAGAACTTGGGCGGCGCGATCACTTTCGCAAAACTGGATGCGGGAGAGAGCCGGGTTTTCGAAGGGGTGCTCGACGCAGCCACGAGGGTAGCAGCAGCAGCAGGAGTTGGCAGATATGCAGAAAGCGAAAGTTGAGAAACGTTCGTGAAACGCAGCAAGTGCAAGGCCGCGAGAGGAGTTTCGAATCACAGCCGATTACTACTACTGGCTCGATGCGCGTTTATTTTCGCGTGTCTCGCTCCGACGAGTACCGAACGCTATTCGACTCGATTTCAACGATAACTAACCTCGCCGAGGCATTCTTGATTCGACAGATTAGAATTTTGTTTTCCTCGACGCGATTGCAAAAGCATGATAGAATAAGTTATCGTAACTTTTTTTTTTTTTTTTNTTTTTTTTTTTTTTTTTTTTTTTTTTTTTTTTTTTTTTTTTTTTTTTTTTTTTTTTGTTTTATTTTGTGTTAAAGGACTGTTGATTGTAGGTACCTGAAATAGGAGGTGGCTCGACGAGCGCGGAGGGGCCGAAGAAGGACGGTAAATCGCTGCTGGTGGTAACCGGCGTGTTTAGGTCACCTGGTTTATCCTTCTCGTTAGGCTCCTGGAGGTCGTCTCTGCACTCCCTGGAGCAGTCCTTGTCCTCGTGTAAACGCCGCTTGCCGTCGTTGGAGTCGTTGGACGGGGAGGAAACATCGTGCCGATGGTGTTGATGATCGTCCAGCTGTTGATGCGGATGATGATGATGATGATGATGGTGCTGATGATGCTGATGATGATGCTGATGCTGTCGGCCATGATGATCCGTGGAGTCGGTACTGTTCTGATGCTGGGCTTGCAGGGGCACGCAAGTTGTCAGCGACAAAGTCGGTATAGTTTTGTTGTTGCAGCTCGGTGACGAGGTGCATGTTGTAGCGGCCGGCGTTGACGTGCCGCCAACGCCGCAGACGATCGAATTCGAGGATGTCGCCGCGTTGTACGGCAGACATGCGTCGAAACTGAGCTGCACCGTCTGTAGATTGAAGGTAGTGTGAGAATGATGATGATGGTGGTGCCCGAGGGGTGGCGGTGAGAGCAAAAACGGACTGGTGGCCGCGTGGGGCTGCGAGCCCACCACTTCCATGCCGTCCATCGTCATCCTCTGGAGTTGGTCGCCTCCTTGGCTGACGGTGGCAACCTCCTCGGTACCGCACTGCGTGTCCTCGCCTGCGGTTGTATCGTTCAACGCTATTATTATGGTTAAAATGTTGTCCTTCCTCGGTCGCCCCGACACAGTTAAGCCTCTTTCTCTCTCCCACCGGGTATACAAGCTCTACGCGAATTAGCCCCCTTCAAACCGTCTTTTTCAGTCTTTTTTCGGTCTAACGTTCGGAAATTCAGTTGCCCTTCGTTCTCTGTGCAACGACCACGACGTGGCGTCGACAGAGCGGCGAAGAGTTGCGTGGTTCACGGGGACGAACGCAACCTGGTTCGTACACGAGCACACGAGTCATCAGAGAAACGTCAAGTCCGTTGAGATATCAGGTCGGTATCAGTCTCTCTCGGCTTCCCTTCGAGTATAGCTTCAAGTCACTGGGTTAGTAGTCAAGCAGACGTAGCACGCGCTCCCCCTTTTTTTTTTATTCGTCGCACGGCACGCGCCGAGAGTCTCTCTTTCTCAGCGAGGTATACACACACGAGGGAGCGGACACGCCGGGCGGCAAAAACCGTGTCTCGCGATCTCTCTCGCCTCTCTGTCCTTCCTTTTCTTTCCCTCTCTCTCTCTCTCCTCCCTTCGAGATCCCACTCTCTTTCGCGAGCGAGCGAGCGCGCGCGCGCCTGCGATCGCCGTCGCCGAGGCGGCTGGATATACCACCGCGTGCGCACAACCACCACCAACCACTAACCAACCACTACCACCACCACCCAATTATACGCGCGGAACGACTCTCGAAAAATCCAATTTTCGTCGGATCGCGACCGATTCTCCTCCTTTCGATCTCTGAATTGTTGCCGCGTCGCGGTATGCCGGCCGGTTCCGACCGCAGGTCCCTGTTTGGTCTCTCTCGAGCGCGCCCGCGCGCTACCAACGTGAACGAAGACGCGCGATTATGCGGATCTGCGGCTCGAGGTGCCTGGTCTGTCAAGAGGGATGAAATCGCGGAACCGCGGCTATTCTTCTCTTCTTCCAAGACGTCAGCGGTTACCACCTTTTCCCTCCTCTCTCAGAATCGATCTTTCGGTCGTCCAAGTTGGCGAATTCGCGAGTTTCGAATCGAATCGACGGGAATTGACTCTTTCTCTCACTCGCGAAATGAAAATCCTATACGCGGCGCGTACGATGTGGTGCGCGCGCGCACGCGCGCGCGTGTGTATATCGCGTAGGTGCAAGCGCGCGCGCGCGACCGCGCGCCTATTTGTCGTTCCGTTTGTCCTCTGTCCCTTTCTTTCCTCGCCACGTCTCTCCACTCTTTCCTCCGCGTTTCCTCCCTCTCTCTCTCTCTCTCTCTCTGTCCACGTTCTTCTCCCGTCTCTTTGTCTTTCCTCGCGTTCGTCTCCTTCTAGCTCCTTCCTCGGATTTATCGTTCGTCTCGCGTTGGACGTGTTACCTTGCCGCTCGGTTAGGCGTGCGTGTGCTCGATGGCAGCAGATCGCGCGCTCGGATTATCAGAGGACGCGCGATGCGTGGGGGTCGCGCACGAACTGAGCCGAGCGACGGCGCGCCCCGTAGTTTTATGAATGGACCGCGGACACTGTCCCATATTTGGAAGCGGCGAGTCGACTGCCAGCCAATCCCCGCTCTGCGGTCCCCTATCAACGCGCGCCTGTCTGCGTACCGCGTATGTACCGTGGCGCGTGTGTGTAGACGTACACACGCGCCGTTACCCCCACCACGCGACCTGCACGTCGTCACTGCGAGCCACTGCTCGCAGGCATCTCTATCCCCACCACGCCGCCCTTCGCGCGCTCCTACCTTCCCCTAACTTCCCCCCGTGCCTCCGCTATCCCCACCCGCTTCGCGGTTCTCCAGTGACGTAGACCGGCGTGACGTAGACGAGGCGCGCGCGCTCGTCTCGCGACGAGCAGAGCACGAGCAAAAGTCACGTTCGAGGATTTAAAGGAGAAAAATCACGTGGAGAGCGAGTTGAATCACGTACCGTAATCAATTTTTTTGGGAACGTTGCTCGAACGGTACTAGCGTTTGTAAACGAGCAAACTTGTTTGATAGAGAAAAAGCCGCGTTACAGGAAATCATAATACAGGAAAGTATATAGTTTCTCGCGTCAACTATTCGATCCGTGGCAGATAATCTCACGAATGCGGGACTACTGTTCATCCACCACCCCTTGTTCTTCCATCTGCGTAAGCTCGTAGCTGCTGACGCGGTCGGCGCCGGCGTACCGACGCCTCACTCGATGATAGACGTCGGTGTTTATTGTCGGCTCGAGAGCTTGCGGCTATCGCCAGCGTCCCTTTTCATGAAACCATTTATCGATTGGAGCGCGCTCGCTTAGGGGCGAAGCTTCGCCGAGATCGTTCTCGAAACCGAGAGTCGTTTAGCCGGTACAGCATCACGCGCCATCTCAATGTTACGTTATGTTAAATTTCCAGTCGCAGATTATTATTGATCGTGAATGAAATTGCCTTTTCGCCAAATGCAGTTGCCAGACGCATTGTTGGACGAAGCTACTTATCATTATTATTTCCAATTAATCAGTAATAATAAATCTTTTAAATTAAATAATACGTGGAATAATTTATAAAAGAATATTACAAATATTCCCCGCTTCAATCAAATGTCACTTTATTTTACGTCCTATTTACGTCATTGGACCAAACTACTTATTTTCAATTCGTCGATCATGAACAAACAATCTGTAGGCGATACTTTACAGCTGCAGATGTGTCGACGTGAAATCTTCAGCTGAATCGAGCTGATTCGATCAGAATCGGAGGAGAGTGCGACGGAAGAAAGCGAAAACAGACGCGCAACAAGTGAGACAGATTGCCACGGTGGACGGGCGGCGCACGTGTCGAATCGGTGTTTGAGAGCGGTGTTTCGATTGCTCGGGCAAATAATCCGGGTGAACGGAGGCCGGCAAAGTTCCGGGCTGGGTTTGCCACGGTAAAGGAGCAATTTCCTGTGGCACACCGCCGGTTGCCACCACCTGTAAGAGCGAGCGCGTGCCGTTCTGCTAAACGCGCGTATACATGCGTGCGTGTGCCTGGTTACGAGTGGCACACGCGCGTCTGCGCACGCGCAAACGATCATTTTCTCGCGGGCGTCGTGCAACCACCTGATGCCCTATTTGGGGCCACGCACGGCCACGCGACCATTCTCCGTCTCCTTTTCTTTTCTGTGTATCCGCCTTCGTCTCGCAGGCGTTCTCTCTTTCTCTCATTTTCCCTCTTTTCTCACTCTTTTCGCGAGCTTGCCTCCTCCTCAAAGCCAGTTTAATAAAGCGCTTTGTGTCGTCTGTGTTTCCGATCGAAGGATTTGCAATAAGGACACAGTTCCAATATTTGGATTGCATTTATTGAAAGAGATGGAAACGTCTTGTATCTAAAAGCGCGAGAGTTTATTATTACACTACGAATATTGGTCGACGACGAGTCCATTCTTCAATTTTATTACTACGAATTTGCATTTGACATCTTCAGAGATTTGCATACCGCGAGGAAATAGAACAGTTCGAAAAGTGACGTTCGCGTTGATCAAAAATAGTTTCTGAGCAATTCGATTTATAGCAATGCTCGATTTACCGAAATTATCAGGAAGCGGAGGTGTTTCGTTGCAATGGCCCCTTCAATTTTTATTTTCGTTAACTATACTTTCATCGTTCGACCAAAGACTCGAATAAAAATGGCTTTATTTGCCTTTGCATTTTCGATCTATTACCTAGGTATAGCAAAAGGCATACACCGATACCACTTTGATTTCTCCTCGAGATTCAACGATCCTTCTCTCTTTCTTTCACTTCATCATTGTTTTTCCTCGTGTTAATTGCTGGCTCGTTTCACGATATTCGCAGCACGCGTTCGTGGAGATGGCGCGCGTAAACGGAAGCGATCTGATACAACGGAAGAGCATTTATCGGACAATGTGCATTTACATTCACAATGGAAGCTGAGTTCTCGGATAAAATCAATTCAACTCGGCGAACTGGTCGCGAGAAAGAAGAGAAGAAACGAGGAAAAACAATGCCGTTCTCGTCGTCCTTTTCGTACAAGATCGTCGAAAGGTCGTTGAGATTTTACTTGGCGTTCAATCGATTTTGTCTGACATCACCGCGACACTTTTCCTGAAAAGCCGAGCGTTCCAAATCAATGGTTGAGCAGTCGCGGAGACAGGTTGCGCGATATTATAATGAGTCAGTGCCATATATAACTTTATCAAAAGCCGCACTCGAGCGCGTTTAGGCGTTACGTTAGCGGATACGCGGCCGATTCGCGTTTGTACACCCAATGTATCTCGCAGTGAATTTTCGACCGCGTCGAGAGCCAAGTCGCTTATCTAACTCGGCGGGAACTCGAGCCAAGAAAGCTGTTTCGTACGACGCAACGCGTCTCCGGCTGTTCAGAACGAACACATGTTAACTGCGCCGGAATACAGAAATTTCCAAGACAAAGCTTCTTTTTCTTCTTATGACGGAATGATCATTTTCCATCTTTCACGAAGTAACCAATTAATCTTACCATTACCAAAACTTCTTATTTTATGTATACTTTATATTCGTTTTCTTCTTTTCATAATTTTAAAAGCATTGCTTGTAATATCGAAATAACAGAGGATATTTAGCTATTGAAGATGCAAAAGTATTGCTTGTTTAAAACTACCACAACGAACAAAAGTTCTTTATAGAAATTTCGTACATTTACAACGCGATGCATACTGGTGAGGTTTTATAAAATCTCTCTTCCTTTCGAAGAAATTCCTCCGACGCAAATTTTCAAATTTTCTTCAAATACAGGATAATATACGGAGTCCATCAGGGTTAACATCTTGCGCTGGAGCGACGTGCCACGCACGTCGAGAATTTTTCGTCCCAAAATTGCAACATTTTCTCAGTTTCAGGTACATTTAAATGTTAAACCCAGGCGAAACAAATGACAAGTTTATTACTTCTTAATAATTTCGATCCAGTGATGTCGTACCGACGAGTTCAAAAGAGAAAGAAATTACTACAAATTATTGTATACGGTTCGGTCACTCGTTATGGTCCGCG